CTTACCCTTACCCCTCTCCATATCCTCAAGTCCATTCTCTAGTAGGCCTGTATCTTTATTCCTGTCTTACCCCTAGGTCTTCATGACATATTTTTTTTCTTAAATTCCATGTATATGTGTTAGCATACGGTATTTGTCTTTCTCTTTCTGACTGACTTCACTCTGTATGACAGAATCTAGGTCTATCCACCTCATTACAAATAGCTCAATTTCGTTTCTTTTTATGGCTGAGTAGTATTCCATTGTATATATGTGCCACATCCTCTTTATACATTCATCCGATGATGGGCACTTAGGTTGCATCCATCTCCTGGCTATTGTAAGTAGAGCTGCAATGAACATTTTGGTACATGACTCTTTGAATTATGGTTTTCTCAGGGTATATGCCCAGTAGTGGGATTGCCAGGTCATATGGTAGTTCTGTTTGTAGTTTTTTAAGGAACCTCCATACTGTTCTCCACAGTGGCTGTATTAATTTACATTCCCACCAACAGTGCAAGAGGGTTCCCTTTTCTCCAAACCCTCTCCAGCATCTATTGTTTCTAGATTTTTTGATGATGGCCATTCTAACTGGTGTGAGATGATATGTCATTGTAGTTTTGATTTGCATTTCTCTAATAATTAATGATGTTGAGCATTCTTTCATGTGTTTGTTGGCAGTCTGCATATCTTCTTTGGAGAAATGTCTATTTAGGTCTTCCGCCCATTTTTGGATTGGATTGTTTGTTTTTTTGTTATTGAGCTGCATGAGCTGCTTGTAAATTTTGGAGATTAATCCTTTGTCAGTTGCTTCATTTGCAAATATTTTCTCCCATTCTGAGGGTTGTCTTTTGGTCTTGTTTATGGTTTCCTTTGCTGTGCAAAAGCTTTGAAGTTTCATTAGGTCCCATTTGTTTATTTTTGTTTTTATTTCCATTTCTCTAGGAGGTGGGTCAAAAAGGATCTTGCTGTGATTTGTCATAGAGTGTTATGCCTATGTTTTCCTCTACGAGTTTGATAGTTTCTGGCCTTACATTTAGGTCTTTAATCCATTTTGAGCTTACTTTTGTGTATGGTGTTAGGGAGTGATCTAATCTCATACTTTTACACGTACCTGTCCAGTTTTTCCAGCACCACTTATTGAAGAGGCTGTCCTTTCTCCACTGTACATTCCTTCCTTCTTTATCAAAGATAAGGTGACCATATGTTCATGGGTTTATCTCTGGTCTTTCTTTCCTGTTCCATTGATCTAGCTTTCTGTTTTTGTGCCAGTACCATACTGTCTTGATTACTGTAGCTTTGTAGTATAGTCTGAAGTCAGGGAGCCTGATTCCTCCAGCTCCATTTTTCGTTCTCAAGATTGCTTTGGCTATTCGGGGTCTTTTGTGTTTCCATACAAATTGTGAAATTTTTTGTTCTAGTTCTGTGAAAAATGCCAGTGGTAGTTTGATAGGGATTGCATTGAATCTATAGATTGCTTTGGGTAGTAGAGTCATTTTCACAATGTTGATTCTTCCAATCCAAGAACATGGTATATCTCTCCATCTGTTTGTATCATCTTTAATTTCTTTCATCAGTGTCTTATAATTTTCTGCATACAGGTCTTTTGTCTCCTTAGGTAGGTTTATTCCTAGATATTTTATTCTTTTTGTTGCAATGGTAAATGGGAGTGTTTTCTTGATTTCACTTTCAGATTTTTCATCATTAGTATATAGGAATGCCAGAGATTTCTGTGCATTAATTTTGTATCCTGCTACTTTACCAAATTCATTGATTAGCTCTAGTAGTTTTCTGGTAGCATCTTTAGGATTCTCTATGTATAGTATCATGTCATCTGCAAACAGTGACAGCTTTACTTCTTCTTTTCCGATTTGGATTCCTTTTATTTCCTTTTCTTCTCTGATTGCTGTGGCTAAAACTTCCAAAACTATGTTGAATAAGAGTGGTGAGAGTGGGCAACCTTGTCTTGTTCCTGACCTTAGTGGAAATGCTTTCAGTTTTTCGCCATTGAGGATGATGTTGGCTGTGGGCTTGTCATATACGGCCTTTATTATATTGAGGAAAGTTCCCTCTACACCTACTTTCTGCAGGGTTTTTATCATAAATGGGTGTTGAATTTTGTCAAAAGCTTTCTCTGCATCTATTGAGATGATCATATGGTTTTTCTCCTTCAATTTGTTAATATGGTTAATCACATTGATAGATTTGCGTATATTGAAGAATCCTTGCATTCCTGGAATAAACCCCACTTGATCATGGTGTATGATCCTTTTAATGTGCTGTTGGATTCTGTTTGCTAGTATTTTGTTGAGGATTTTTGCATCTATGTTCATCAGTGATATTGGCCTGTAGTTTTCTTTCTTTGTGACATCCTTGTCTGGTTTTGGTATCAAGGTGATGGTGGCCTCGTAGAATGAGTTTGGGAGTGTTCCTCCCTCTGCTATATTTTGGAAGAGTTTGAGAAGGATAGGTGTTAGCTCTTCTCTAAATGTTTGATAGAATTCGCCTGTGAAGCCATCTGGTCCTGGGCTTTTGTTTGTTGGAAGATTTTTAATCACAGTTTCAATTTCAGTGCTTGTGATTGGTCTGTTCATATTTTCTATTTCTTCCTGATTCAGTCTTGGCAGTTTGTGCATTTCTAAGAATTTGTCCATTTCTTCCAGATTGTCCATTTTATTGGCATAGAGTTGCTTGTAGTAATCCCTCATGATTTTTTTTATTTCTGCAGTGTCAGTTGTTACTTCTCCTTTTTCATTTCTAATTCTATTGATTTGAGTCTTCTCCCTTTTTTTCTTGATGAGTCTGGCTAATGGTTTATCAATTTTGTTTATCTTCTCAACGAACCAGCTTTTAGTTTCCTTGATCTTTGCTATTGTTTCCTTCATTTCTTTTTCATTTATTTCTGATCTGATTTTTATGATTTCTTTCCTTCTGCTAACTTTGGGGTTTTTTTGTCCTTCTTTCTCTAATTGCTTTAGGTGCAAGGTTAGGTTGTTTATTCGAGATGTTTCCTGTTTCTTAAGGTAGGACTGTATTGCTATAAACTTCCCTCTTAGAACTGCTTTTGCTGCATCCCATAGGTTTTGGGTCGTTGTGATTCCATTTTCATTTGTTCCTAGGTATTTTTTTTATTTCCTCTTTGATTTCTTCAGTGATCACTTCGTTATTAAGAAGTGTATTGTTTAGCCTCCATGTGTTGGTATTTTTCTTCTTTTTTTTTTTTTTCTTTGCGGTACGCGGGCCTCTCACTGTTGTGGCCTGTCTCATTGCTGAGCGCAGGTTCAGCGGCCATGGCTCGCGGGCCCAGCTGCTCCACGGCATGTGGGATCTTCCTGGACTGGGGCATGAACCCGTATCCCCTGCATCTGCAGGCGGACTCTCAACCACTGCGCCACCAGGGAAGCCCCCATGTGTTTGTATTTTTTACAGATCTTTTCCTGTAATTGATATCTAGTCTCATAGTATTGTGGTCAGAAAAGATACTTGAAACAATTTCAGTTTTCTTAAATTTACCAAGACTTGACTTGTGACCCAAGATATGATCTGGAGAATGTTCCATGAGCACTTGAGAAAAATGTGTATTCTGTTGTTTTTGGATGGAATGCCCTATAAATATCAATTAAGTCCATCTTGTTTAATGTATCATTTAAAGCTTGTGTTTCCTTATTTATATGGTATCTTTTGATGAGTGGAAGCTTTTAGTTTTGATGAAGTATAATGCATTACTTTTTCTTTTAAAACTTTTATAGTTTTAGCTTTTACAGTAAGGTCTGTGATTCACTTGAAATTAATTTTTATTTATGGCGTAAAGTGTGAATCTCAAGGTTCATTTGTTTTCCATTTGGAGATCCATTTTTTCCAGCATCATTTGTTGAAAAGACTTTTCTTTTTCTCACTGAATTGCTTTGGTACCTGGAAAAGTCTGGGTCTGTTTCTAGGTTCTTTATTTTTGTTCCATTGGTCTATGTGGAATACTGTATATTAGTACACTTTGCAAAACTATATAGAATACTTATTAGATTGGTACAAATAGGAAAAAACTTTCCCGTTCATGTTTTGATAGCACTGGAGAGCTTTCATATGATCATCCTGTAGTGGGTGATATTTGGAGGCTTTTCAGCATGGTACTTTATATATTCCTATGCTACTTTTTTTGTGACATGCGAGATTGATGTTCACTTTTATTCTCTTCTGTTGTGAAGATGAGAAAGCACTTGTGTAGTACAGAGTTCTGAGGCTAGTAAGTAAGAATCTTCAGGTACCTTTCTTTAAAAAGCATAGGTGTCTATACATATATTATAAAGATCTAGACAGAACTTCATTTCACTGTGCAACCAAGAGAGATGCCTTGGGTCCTTGTATTGATAGTTTGAAGGGAAAAAGGAGGAGAAGACAGAGCCACATAGAAATTGTGATTTCCTCATAAAGCAAAATTAGTCTATAGCCATGTAAGTTACCTATATTTTGGAACTCAATCATAATTCTGAATTACAGTAAACTTAAAAGTAAGCAGTAGTTGCAATTCATCTGCACAGGGGAGAGGGGTAAGAAATTAGAAGCTGGAGAGATTGGATCTCAAATACAAATCTGTGTTGTTGGGATACTAACTAAATATTGTTTATAAGTTAAAATGTTTATGTTTACTCTAGGTGAAGGACTGTTATCGTGTGTTTATGGAATTTTCTTCAATAGATTTGTGAAACTGCTAGAAATTAGAAAGTGTAGGTCTCTGTTCCTGGTATGTCCTGCAGTCCTGGCTCCTTTCCAATATAAATGGCAGTAGTCATCTTAATCTTTTTGATAACTAAAAAACATTCCCTCCAATTTCAACACTGTCCCTAGAATTTACCACCCTTGTTGAGATTTACTGGTCTTAGATTTGGAAAGGTGAGGAAATTAAGTACTAGAGTAAGAAATGATGCAACGTATTTGTAATCATACACTGCCTAAATCTAATTAAAATGGATAATTTGAGAATTTTAAAATTAAAATGGCTGATTGTATATTCTTATTTTTCCTAGTAAAATGAATGAAAGTAAAACTGGAGGCTCACAGAATCCCAGTAAGTAACCATATTTAAAATATTTTCAAATTTAATTTAAAATGTTAAGATATTTTACTCTTGCTTTTTTATTACAGTAAATCTTTTTAGACTGGTACTTAAACAATAGGAATGAATTTCCTGATATTCTTAGTTCATGTTTCTGTATACTAAAATAAAATGTTGTGTGTATTCATTTCAACAAAAATCTGCTAGAAAAGGATAATTTGCCAAATATTATTTGTATTCTCTATGTGTATTTATCAAGTATGGTTTGTATCTGAATAAAACAGTTTATTTAATAAATATGATTTTTTTACCTTTTTGTGTGATTTTTTCTTCTTACAAAAGATAAAATGCAGATGAGAACAGTTTAAACAACATATGAAAGTTTAACATGAAAAGGAAAACTTGCCTATTAGCGCTCACAACAGTCTTCTCAAACAGATGTAGACCTTTGCTTTTAGTTGTTTTCATTTATTAGTTATAAACAGTACATATTGATTAGCTACTATGGAAGATGGAAATTTTAAATTGTTACTTTATACTCCTTTGCCACTACTTCTCCCTGATCTACCCTTTATAAAATTTATTTTTTGATTTCTTCTCAAAGTATTACACTTAAAACTCTGTATCTTGACTCTCACTTATAGAGTATCTGATAACTCCATATCATGTTGGATACGGAAATGTGTGCTCTTAAACCTCCTCTACTTTGCTTTCCTGCTTTTACCTACAGACTTCTATCATCTGTGCTAATAGTTCTGAAACTTAGTAATTCATGGACTACCTTCATATATTTGCCAAATGGAAATACTACCTATTACTGTTATTTACTTAATATTTTTCTTAAGATTGACTCAGTTTTTTACTTACATGAATGTGTTCATTTTATTATTGTAACATAACCAGTATCATTTGCTGGAGTATAATAGAAGATGGTCTTAATAAATATAATGAAGTCAGAACAATTTTACTGAATTTTAAACATTAAAATGAAACAACAGCAAAGTACAAATAAAAGAAAGGTAACCTACTTATAAAAATGCATGCCTGAAACCTAGTCTGTTCTGTGTCCAGGGTCTCGGTACTGGGCAAAGGGAGGAGAAGAACAGATGGAAAGCACAGGTCCACAGCATATAGCAGATGCAGCTCCATCCAGCATTCACCTTAAGGACTCCTCTTATGTAATCTCAGCTAATTCCTTGTATTCCTCTTCCTCTTGATAGCTGCATGCACACTTACAGCTGAAAGTATAGGCACTGGGGATGAAGAAGTTAAGGCAGGAGCTGCTGGTGTAAGATGTCCAATAAACAAATGGCAATTTGGTGCAATTAATGTGGTCAGGTACTCTGTATGGGGGAGGAAGGGGATCCGAAACCTTTTAAAAGATTGAGGGAAGGGCCTTTCAGTTACTGCTTATTAAGCTGGAGTGAGGGAGGACAAATATGGGGGGATGTTTCACAATACTAAGTATTAGCTCATGCTGTTTCTTTCCAGTCCTGCAATCTATTTTCTGAGTAGCCTATTAACAGATACAGTATATTTTCAACACATAACATCCGTTCTTGATTACATGTATTAGTTAAGGTAAATATGATTAGCTGCTGTAATAGGTAAACCCTGAAGTTTTAATGGTTAATACAGTAAATGTTTATTACTTGGTCAAGTTACAGTTCAACGTGGATTGGTTAGGGGAGATTGGACAGATAGGGAGTTTCTGTGCCATGCAGTCATTTAGATTCACGTTCATTTCATCTTGTATTGGTTTGCCACCTTGAGATGCTCAGAATCTTTGCAGCTAGTGATTTTCTTATTGTTTTATTAGTATGGTGTTAGAAATTTGCTGAACAGGTAAATATCATAAGATAGAAAGGATTGGTAATTATAGTACTAACATTCAGTTCTGTCTGTGTGCCATACCCTTTTAATTATATTTCTGTATACTCTCTCATTTAATCCTCATTAAGGCATAGTTTGAGGTAGGTGCTGTTGTTGTCCTTGGTTTTTTTTTTGCGGTACGTGAGGCTCTCACTGTTGTGGCCTCTCCCGTTGTGGAGCACAGGCTCCGGACGCGCAGGCTCAGCAGCCATGGCTCACGGGCCCAGCCACTCCGCGGCATGTGGGATCTTCCCGGACCGGGGCACGAACCCGTGTCCCCTGCATCGGCAGGCGGACTCTCAACCATTGCGCCACCAGGGAAGCCCATATTATTTTTAAGATGAGGAACTGGAAAGATCAAGTGTTTATGTGACTTGTTCAAGGTTACACAGCAAGAGTGTGGAGCCGAGTCTTAACTCAGATCTCCCTGACTCTACAATTTGCCTTAAAAATTTTTTTTTATTATTGTAAAATACATACAACATATCAATAGAATTCATCATCTTAACTATTTTGAAGGGTACAATTTGATGGCACTTCATACATTCACAGTGTTGTGCAACCGTTACCACTATCTAGTTCCAAAATATTATCATCCCCCCAAAAGAAAACTCTGTCCATTAGGCAATCACTTCTCATTTCCCCTGTCCTCAACCCGTGGAGACTACCAGCCTGCTTTTTGTCTGTCTCTGTGGATTTACCTATTTTGGATAATGTAATCTATTGTATAAATGGAATCATATAATATATGACCTTTTATGCTTGTATTCTTAGATTTAGCATAATGTTTCTAGGCTCATCTGTGTTGTAGCGTGTATCATTATTTCATTGCTTTTTATAGCTAAAAGATACTCCATTGTATGGATATGGTATATTTTGTTTGCCCATTCATCCATCCATTGATGGAAATTTGATTTGTTTTCCTTTTTGGCTATTGTGAACAGTGCTTCTGTGAACATTAGTGTACAAGTATCTGAACATCTGTTTTTAATTCTTTGGTATTATATATACTCAGGAATGGAATTGTTATATCACATGGTAACTGTGTTTAACTTTTTGAGGAACTGCTGACTATTTTCCAAAGTGGCTGTACCATTTTACATTTCAGCTAGCAGTATATGAGGGTTCTGATTTCACCAGCTCCTTGCCAGCATTTGTTATTATCTGACATTTTTATTGTAGCCATCTTAGTGGGTGTGAAGTGATATCTCATTGTGGGATTTGCATTTCCCTGATGACTGATGATATTAAGCATCTTTTAATGTGCTTATTGGCTATTTTATATCTTCTTTGGAGCAATGTTTATTCAATAAGATCCTTTGTCCCGTTTTAAAATTGAGTTGTGTGTTTATTGTTGGGTTGTAATACTTATATATTCTGGACGCTAGACCCTTAAAAGGTATATGATTTCCAAGTATATTTAACCATTCTGTAGATTGTCTTTTCACTTTGTTGATAGTGTTCTTTGATGCACAAAAATTTTTAACTTTGATGAAGTCCAATTTATCTATTATTACTTTTGCTTTTGGTGTCATGTGATATCTGAAAAACCATTCCCAAACCAGGGTTTTGAAGATTTACCCCTGCATTTTCTTCTAAGAAAGAGTTTTATAGTTTCGGCTCTTATGTTTAAGTCTTTGATCTATTTTGAATTAATTTTTGTATAAGGTATGAGATAGGGATTTAATTTATTATCTTGCATGTGGCTATCCAATTGTCCCAGCCCCATTTGTTAAAGAGACTATTCTTTCCCCATGGAATGATCTTGGAATACTTGTTCAAAATTAATTGACCATAGATGTATGGTCATTCTGGATTCTTTTCTATTGATCTATATGTCTAGCTGTATGTCATTACCACACTTTTGATTTCTGTAGCTTTGTTATAAGTTTTGAGTCTTCTCTCTTTGTCTAGATGAAGGTTTGCCAGTTTTGTTGACCTTTTCAAAGAACCAACTTTGTTTATATTTATTCTATTGTTTTCCTATTCTCTATGTCATTTATCTCTATTCTAATCTCTATTATTTCCTTTCTTCTGCTAGTTTTGGGTTTAGTTTGTTCTTTTTCTGGTTCTTTAAGGTTAAAATAAAGTCATTGATTTGGGATCTTTCCTTTTTCATATAGGCTTGCTATATGAGTCTACAAGCCTAAATAAAGATCAGCCAGAGGTGAAAGCTTGGAGTTTCTAGGGTCATTTCTGAGTATGCATCCAGTCCTGGGCATGTGGTATCCTTCTAGATTCCCTGGTATATTTGGGAGCTTTTCAAAGCCCTTATATTCCCATGTATCTTCCTTTTCCAGACTCTTCTTTCCTAGCCTTTTTGGTCTGTGACCTGCTTACCCTGTCTGTTATCTTTTGCTTCAGGCTGCTGCCTCTATGCCTCTAGTATATTTGTCTTAAATGTTTTTGACAGTCAGACTCCAGCCCTGAGAAATTTCTGAGGCAGGTGAAACAAGGGCAGGCATCTGAGCCAGTCCCTTGGGGAGCCACCATACAGGTCAGAACACACAATCACATTTCTTTGACAAGGTCCATATTACCTCCTCTTAGACAATCCACACCAGGAACATGGGCCTAAGGAACAATACACATTGAACATGGGCCTAAGGCCATTGCCCAGCTGGAGAGTGGGGGATGGTTGGCAGGTAAGTTAAAATGCCACAAATCTCTCATCAAATTTTGGCAGCTTGTTTCTTTATGAAGCATTCTTCTGATTATTTTAAGTTTTTAATTTTTAAATCAGATTTCAGATTTTCTGAAAAGTTAATTCTGATGGTTTTGGCAGCATAACCAAATGCACAACCAGCATTTGGCAGGTTTTATTGCTTTAGAGAGATGGAGTTTCAGAGTTTCCTAATCTGTTGTTTTCAATGAGTTGCCATTTTTAACAACACACTGGGATTCATCATTAAAGATTAATGAAAAAAATGTAAAGTCACATTATTGTTTTAGAAGTACGTATTGGAAGTTTTAATTTACTGATAACAATATAAAGTGATTTGCTCTCTCAAAAAGAATTGAACACATCAATTGAGAGAAGCACCAATTCCATAGGGTTTTTTTTTTGTTTTTGTTTAAAATTTTTTTATATCTATTACTTTTTTCACTGTTAGCTTGTGTTTTCTGTCGAAAAAATGATGACTGTCCTATTAAATATGGAGAAAAGAAAACTAATGAGAAATGGAATCTCACTGTACATTACTATTGTTTGGTGAGTATAATTTTTAATTAAATCCTAGCAATCTGATATTCTTCTAAAGAAGAGAATTCGATCCTGATGGCTGGTTTCTGAGAAATGGATAAGTCATTTAACTTTTCTGGATCTCCTTTTGCTTATGTGTAAAAATAAGATTTTTCATTTATCAAATTCTAAGATTCTGAAATTACTTGGTACGTAGAAATACCTGTCATCATTACCTGCTTATTTTTGTCTAACCCTTTAGGGCCTCAGTGGAAAAAAGGAGAAAATGGTTAGGTCTCTAAGGGAGTTGTTCATTTTACTACTTTGTTTTCATTGTTGCTATTGATAAGTCTCAGAAAAGACTTGTTTGAAGGTTTAAGAAGTAAAAGAAAAGTATTTTATTTCACAGAGAACCTGGAAAGAAAAGTTCTGACTAAAGGTAATAAATATTTGTGTAAAAGGAAATAGGTTAATTTATGTGTCACTCAGAAGAAAGAAAAAATGATGTCATATTGAGAATTAGTCTCTCATTTGTTCCGCATTCCCCCCACCAACTTCTCACCTCACTGAATCTGCCTTAAGATATTAGTGGCACCATCACTGCCTTAGCATGTGAAGGTTGCATGAGCACATGCAGCATTTCTTGGCACTTGTATTAGTTATATATTTCTGCTTAACTAATTATCCTGAAATTTAGCAGTTTAAGCAACATTTATTCTCTCCAATGGTTTCTTTTTTCAAATTAATTTTTATTGGAGTATAGTTGATTTACAATGTTGTGTTAGTTTCTGCTGTACAACAAAGTGAATCAGTTATACAGTGAATACATATATTCACTCTTTTTTAGATTCTTTTCCCATATAGGTCATTACAGATTATTGAGTAGAGTTCTCTGTGCTATGTGGTAGGTTCTTATTATCTATTTTATATATAGTAGTGTGTATGTGTCAATCCCAATCTCCCAATTTATCCCTCCCTCCCCCCCACTTCCCCCTTGGTAACCATAAGTTTGTTTTCTACATCTGTGACTATTTCTGTTCTCAAATGGTTTCTGAAGGACAGGAATCTGGTATTGGGTGAGCTGGGTGGTTCTGGCTCAGGGTCTCTCATGAGGATGCAATTGAGATGTCAGCCATGGTTCAGTCATCTGAAAGCTTGACTGGGCTGGAGTATCCATCTCCAATGGCTCACTCACGTGGCTTTGGGCCTCAGTTCCTCCTGTTGGCCGAAGGTCTCAGTTCCGTACTTCCTGGGCTATAGGGCTGCTCACAGCATGACATCTGCCTTCTCCCAGAGGAAGCGATAAAAGAGAGAGACGGATAGATATACACCAAGATGGAACCATATGACCTAGTTTTTACAGTCGCATACCACTGTTACTTTTGCTTTATTCTGTTAGAGGTGAGTCGTTAATTCTAGCCCACACTTAAGGGGAAGGAATTAGTTCCCACCACTTTAAGGAAGGAGTATCAACAAATGTGTGGACATATTTTTATACCCACAACAGCATCCATGTTAAAACTCCTTAGGTGCTTCCTTGAGAAATCATCTAACATAAATTCTTGGTGTTTCTCTAAAATCTGTAGCCTGGTCTAGGAACCTACCTACTTTGTACCAAGATTTAAGGGACCATGAAGTTGACATTCCAAACATATTTGTAAGTTAGAGCCTTATAGTTTGCATCACAAAAGAAAACCTTTTCATTTTTCTAAAGAGTGTATTTTACTTTTTATGTAGTAGAGTTAGGACAACTATTTTATTAGTTGGTGGGTTATTTTTTCATAATTCTTAAGTAACATATCACTTTTGGGTTTTTTAAGGATATATTATACTGATTAAAATAAAACTCTGATCACAAATCTGAAGTATGTTGGAGTTATTTAATATGCTTAAGTTGGTCATATCAAAATTTCCCTTATATTCTTTCTTATTTTATTAATGAGTATAGTAATCCTGAAACATACTGACCCTAGGCCCAACACTTAAAAGATTCTATTTAATTGGGAACACAAAAGTATAGTAATGTTATAAATGGTAATGGAATGTTAGAGCTGAAAGAGACTTGGAAACAACCTAGTCTGTTGTTTTTATTTTTGTGTTTAATGTCAGAAACATTAAATTACTTGCCTAGGCTTTCAGAAAGTTGGACACAGAGCCTGGTTTGCAAAGTCAGGATTTCTTATTCACAGTCTCATGCTTTTTCTTGATTCATGTTCCTTTAACATATTTAAATTGAAGTTAAAACAGATTTTTAAAAATTCATTTGCATTAACTACAATTCAGTAGATTCCCTATAAATATGCCTTCTATGATTCAGAATCCAGCGAGATTTAAAGTTAACCTAAAATATCACTGATAATTATCTCCATAGTATTCATTATTATTACATATACACCTTTAAGTATTTGCCACTTTTTTTCCCCTAAAGCTTGATTATAAGTGTTTTTTGTTGTTTTTCTTCCTTTCTTTTTCTGTTATTTTCTGTAATACTTTTTAGAAACCAGTTTGGTTACATGAACTGTTAATATACAGTGTCTTCCAAATCAAAGAATGTGAGTAGCCTCTTACTTTGACCATGAAAAATAACTATTATAGGTAAGAGATACTTAAAATTTGAATTGTTTTATGCCCATTTTTTATTGGAATATTATAGGTATATATTTTTTATTCCAAACTAGTTTCTTAGAGTTTATTTTCTAATTGAGAATATATTCATAGTTGATGTCAAGTGGAATTTGGCAGAGGGGTAAAGAAGAAGAAGGAGTTTATGGTTTTCTAATAGAAGATATCAGGAAAGAAGTGACTAGGGCTTCGAAACTGGTAAGTAAATTATTTTACTCATTACACCTAATACCATAAATATTGTCAATACTAAGGAAGTCTATTCTATCACTTTCTCTACTAGAAATCTGTAAGATATTGTTTTTATGTTCCAATGCTTATTTTTGTCAAATACAGTAAACTTTAGAAGAACATTTTGCTAAACCAACCCTGGATAAGATATGTGACGATACGGATTTCACTTCCTTATCTTCTTCCGACTTACCCATCATTTCATCCACTCTTACCATCAGAATTATGACCATACTTCCACTCAGCTGTTCTTCAGACCTTCAATCCTGAGGCAACCCAACTATTGACTTTTCATTCTTATACCTCATTTGTTGGGTTGGAATGAAAGATTGACATGGAAATTACACAACTACACAGACTAATAATTTATGATCTCCACATCTCTTGTGGCTCTTCTGTGACATGGTGTTCTTGTGTTCCATGCCTTTTGTTCTCCAAGATAGATATTCTAAACCTTAACTCCTTATTCATTCAGTTATAATTTGTGAATCTTCTGTGTGATAGCTTACTATATTATGTGCAATGAACAGACTGTAGGTCTCCATGTGGCCTGAGTAGAAATATTGAGAGTTAAGAGGATGAGAAGATTGGAAGTACAGGGGTTTCTGTTCAGAGAATGTGATAATGGAATTGATGATTTCCATGGTGGAGCAGTTTGGGGTGATGAGAGGATTCTTCGTTACACTGGAGTGGTGATGAAGTGCATTGACACATTTTAGTTGAGGAAGTCAAAGAAAGGTTGTCCCATCAGTGCAGAAGTCATTTAGAATAACAGCAAGAATTAAAATACAGAGAAAGGTGCCAAAGTCTGGAGGTGGAGAACTGACCAGGAAATGATTAGATGGCAGAGAGTAGATGTCATTAGGTTCAAAGGACCATATCTTTTTAAGTCTGATAGAGTAGTGGCCTACAATCTGCCACACAGAACTAAAATAATGTTCTGCTTGTCCTCCTTCCTGCCTCTATCCATATCCCACTCCCACTCCTTGCCAAGTCTGGAAATTAAGGAGGCTGGAAAAATAAGCAGCTTCATTCAAGAGATTCTATAAGGGAAGCAGGCAGAGACCTTTCTTTTAGTTGAGACAAAGAAATGGAAGCAATTATTTTTAAAGATGTTGAAGATGCAGAGGAGTTAACGGGAAAATAGAGGTTCTAAGGCACAAGGGAAAACCTTGGAAAAAAGGTTAACAGTGACATTTATCTAAGGGCCATGTGGGAGTGTTAGTATCAAAATTTCTCAATCTTCTGGTGATAGTGAACTTGTCATGAAACATGACCTGTAAAGGTCCCCTTGCAGTTTGGAAATGTTTTCTTAAGACATCTGTAACCTCTCTGAGTATATTGTGAACCTTTGAGAATATCTTGATACTGAAGAGGTGTCTCTGTTTGTGACCTTACAGTAGAATTCCATACGTCAGTTTACAGGGAGAGCCTCAGGTTGGGAAAGTATACAACCTGGTATTGTTTGATGGGTCAGCAGTATAATCTCTCCATCAGTGGCCGTTATAGTTGTCATCTCAAGGGTTCCAAGATATTTTAGGTACTGTTCTGTATTTTGCTAATGATTGATTCATCTAATAGTCTTTCTGTTTATATACCACCATTATATTTAAGTTAGTGGCAGTGGTATTGTATTTGTTTGCTAGGGCTGCTGTAATAGATTACCACAAACTGGGTTGCTTGAAACAGAAATTTATTCTCTCACAATTCTGGAGACTGGAAAGTTCCAAATCAAGCTGTTAAAGGGATTGATTCTTTCTGGAAGCTCTGAAGGATAATCTGTTCCATGCTTCTCTTCGAACTTCTGATGCCTGCTTGGCAACCTTTGGCATTCCTTGGTTTGTGGCAGCATAACTCCAATCTCTGCTTCCATCTTCATGTGGCCTCCCCCTGTGTGTGTCTCTTAAATCTCCCTCTCCTTTTACTTATAAGGACACCAGCCTTTTGATTGAGGGACCACTCTAAATCCAAGATGAACTCATCTTGAAATCTTTAGCTTTCAAGATACTTGTAAGCTAAAGATAGCTTTGAAGATACTTGTAAATCCAGTATCTACAAAGACCTTGTTTCCAAATAAGGTCACATTCAAAGGTACCAGGAATTAGGACTTGAACATATCTTTTGAGGGAATCACTACTTAACCTGCTGTGGGTATCTAACACTTTTTCACTTGGTTAGGATAGAGTGATCCTAGCCAATATTTTACAGATTGGTTTTTAGTATTGTTTTGCTGTTGTCTTTAATAAATATTTCCTAACTATGTGTTTTCTATTGAAATTTGAATGACACTTTCATGTATAACCATTATGTTTACAAATCCTTCAGTTTAAAATATTTTAGCAGATACGAAGGAAACGAAGCTTCTCCAGTTAGAGGTGTTTCCTTTACCAGAAATTGTTATGGGAGTGAATCTTTAGTCCCTTTAGATTGTTTCTGGGTAGAAGAGTTTTTTTCAGGAAATTTCTTTAATGTACTATCTTCACAGCTGTTGTATGATTAAAATAATTTTCAGACTCTCCACAAAGAATATTCATTTATACCTCGGTCTAATCTATAGTACTCAAGTTTTGTACATGTTATAACTCCTATTTTTATACTTTCTTTTAGAAATGCTGTATTTGCAAGAAAACCGGTGCTTCAATTGGATGTGTCACACCCCGATGTAAACGAAGTTATCATTTCCCATGCGGACTTCAGAGAGAATGTATTTTCCAGTTCACTGGCAATTTTGCGTGAGTTCACTAACTGTTGAATATGAAAGAAAATGTAAAAGAAAAATGGAAAATGGATATGGATCTCCCAATTATATAATTCTTTTGTCAAATTTCTTTTCAAAGCTGCGTTGAGGTTATATGTATACTTTAGATAATTTCTCTCCCCTTCCTTTATGATCATTTCTATTTGCAGAGTCTGGAGAATTGCAATATCTATAATGGACTTAATGATTAATATTCACCTCTAGCTTTCAGCTCTAGAACATAATATGGAACTGTTAATATACTCATATTCAGTGAAAATTTCCATCTTACATAATTCTAGATTTTATGCCATTCTTTAGATTTAATAGTTTACTTTATTTTCACAGGGACATATGTGTTTCTCATTGAGTAAAGTGAAGGCATGTAAATTTGGTGGAGTCCAAAAAATAAATATTATGCCCTGGGATGTCCCTAAAAATATTTGCTTCTTGACTTTAGCTCTAAACATCAAGATTTTATGAATTTTGGTATTTGGTATCATGAGTGTTCTATTTCTTTTAGTCTTTTTGCTCTTGACCTATTTACTGGATTGTTATCTATGAGAATTGCAGTTTAGAAAATACAAATGGAAATACATATAGTGGGTTAAGAATAAGTTATTATTTACATTTTATTTGTTATATTATTAATATATTATTTTTAAGTTTAAGTTCCTTCCTTTGATTTTGTGCAAGGTTGAGTACAATGGTGTGTATACTCTGTTGCTAACAGTATTACATAGGATTCTCAACATAATATTAGTTACTGAAATTCTGTGAAGTAAATCTCACCAGCAAAAGGTTCACATTTTGAAAATTCAGCTCTCCTTAGTTATAGATTATGAGACTGATTTATAGTGCCATTGTTCCAATCTGTTGTAGGTTAATTACGAGAGAGACAAATGAATTTTCTCTTATAAATATGAATTGTAAAGCTAGTCTAGTTGTGCTGTATAATTTATTAGATGTTTTAAAATAATATACGTTTTTAGGTCATTTTGTTGGAACCATCGACCTGTTCAGATAATTACATCTAATAATTATAGAGACTCCTTACCATGCACCATTTGCTTGGAATTTATTGAGCCTATTCCAACTTACAGCATATTACGAAGTCCTTGTTGTAAGAATGCTTGGTTCCATAGAGACTGTTTACAGGTAAGATGTTTTGTCAGCTTTTTCTGGTATAAAATTTGTTGCTTGCTGATTTGAATTTTAAATTAGAAAAAATTGATGTGTATTTTAGCTCTTACTACTTGTAACTTTTTAAAACAGCTTTATTGAATCAAATTTTACATATAAAATTCACCCTATTGAAGTGTACAATTAATGTTTGTTTGTTTGTTTTTTTGGTGGTACGCGGGCCTCTCACTGCTGTGGCCTCTCCCGCCGCGGAGCAACAGGCTCCGGACGCGCAGGCTCAGTGGCCATGGCCCACGGGCGCAGCCGCTCCACGGCGCGCGCGCGCGCGGGACCCTCCCGGACTGGGGCACGAACCCTTGTCCCCTGCATTGGCAGGTGGACTCGCAACCACTGTGCCGCCAGGGAAGCCCTACAATTAATGTTTTAATAAAAGTTTAGATACTACCTTTTAATGTATATTTACACTTTTAAAATTTTGTTGTTTTTACCCAAGGATTTTGTTTGTATTTCACAATGAATAATACACAGATTTTAATTCCCAAGTTCATTTATATATTTAAGCTTAGAAAACCAAGATTTGTGAAATAATTAACTGTAAGCTAATTTAATGTTAAGAGGTCTATTTTTTTTAGCTGTAATAAACACTTTATCATAACTTTTTGACAGTAAACTGATTACTATCTAATGAATTGATATTAATATTAGTTCTTTGAGAGCCACCTTGTATGTCAGACCTGACAACAAGTTTTCAAGTAAATGAAATATCATAAAACACACATTAAACAATTTAGTTTCTTCAATTCAGAAGATAATTTAAAATTTTAAAAAGATCCCAGTTATTAATAATGTCCAATATATAGTATAAATGTGTGAAAGTGCCAATTGTTAGACAGTTATAGTTGATAGAATGCCAAGTGACAAAGAGTTTACTTAATTTAAGTTTATACTGTTTTTTAAAGCTTGGTTTTTATTATTGTTTAGTAAAATGAAATGTTATTATTGATTACAAATTAACTACAAAAGTTCTTTTTTTTAAGTTAGGAGATGTAAATCCTCTTATATTTCAACAAAATCTTAAAAGTACTAACAGTAATCAAAGTAGTAAAGCTTGATTACTTCCTGTTTTTTTTTGTATGAGCCTTGAACTCTTATTCTTAGTATTAGTTAGTTATTATTAGTTATCAGTTAAAAGTGGCAGGATGGAGCCTATTTTGTTGGGTAAATATTAGAAATCCTGTTCATTCTTACAAAGAAGTGTTTGTAAAGGGATCTAGAGAGTGCAGTTCATAAACATCATGAAGTGCTGTCTTTACCTATTGAGGAAGAAGTTCACATTATGTGAGAATCTTTAAAAGGTAATTTATCTTAATTCAGGGTTTGTATTTGAATGAATTGAATGTAATTGCTGCCAAATGTATCATCTTGTTAACTTTGTAATAATAGTATGTAATTTTTCAGGACAAATAAGATTTGCCTCATTATGCATTAATAATGAAACAGAGAGAGGTTCTCAAATTTGACCTAGTATTCATAGGACTTTTTGTGAACTCCGAAAATACCAAGTTTCTAATTCTGTCATTAAAAACTAGAAGTAGTACTACTAACAAAAATGTAGGTCTACTTTATGCAGATATAAGGTCATGGCCCCATGGAAACCTGTCTGTGATATAAATATTAACAAGCAAGCAATTATTACTTGGTTAGAGCACACCAGGACAGAGCTCATTCTTGAGTCATGTTCCTTAAAGGAACTCCAGTGGCTTTTCCACTCTGATACAAGTCTTAACTGAAATAGTAAATGGAGTCTACCCTGTTTAGGTAGCTATAATAATACCCAAATAATTTTTTTTTTAATCTCTGAACTCCATTAATATAAAAGAGTTGAAGGAAGAACAAACCTATGCAGTAGGATGAGAATTGTATGTGGTTAAGCAAATTTCATTTGTGACCACTACAAATGCTATATACATTGGGATTTTGTGAGGAGAGACTATAGATTAATATCAAAGAAATTAACTTTTCACTCTGTATGCAGAGAATTGTCACTATTCTTGTTCAGTTTGGATTTCTCACATCATTGCTGTGGTCTTGTTGGTATCTTTCATATGTCCTATGCTGTTTTTATTTTCTCCATGCTAGACAGTTCCTTGTATCATATCCTATACTTAGTAAGATCTTGGTACAATTGCTCAAAGATCCTTTAGGTTCAGCAGAGATTTCATTAACTTGTTGCTTCCCTCTCACATGTTGTGTGTGTGCTGCCTGCTAGTTGTTTGAACTTCCCTTTCTTTCTCCACCATCCACAAATCATTCTCCAAGTCTGTCAGATCTGCTTAATATTTTTGGTGTATCCTTTTTGTTGCTACCCTCTACCTTAAACCCTTTGTGATTTCACTTCAGACACTTTTTTTTTTAACTAGACTTTTGCCGGAGGCCACTAACTCCTGGGTGCCTTATTCTCTGTCAATTCTTCACACCATTGACTTTGATTTACCTGTCTATTTTAATTACTTAGTTCAGTGTGATCAGCATGTAATTTCTAAGTATATTATTATTATTTCCCCAATCACATGTACTCTTTTGCCACTGAGACTTGATATATGCTATTCCCTCTCCTTGTATTGTCTTTTTTCCTATTTTCCTGGCAAACCCCTACTTCTTTCAAACTTAACTTTGACCGTACCATCCCTGTGACATTTTTGTCAGGCTCTTACGTAAACTTCAGTACTTCTTCCTTTCTCTTCCGTATATACTTTTTATTTATTTGTTTAGTTATTTTTAAATAAATTTATTTATTTATTTTTGGCTTCGTTGGGTCTTCGTTGCTGCGCATGGGCTTTCTCTGGTGGCAGTGAGCAGGGGCTACTCTTCTTTGCAGTGCACGGGCTTCTCATTGCGGTGGCTTCTCTTGTTGCAGAGCATGGGCTCTAGGCACGCAGGCTTCTGTAGTTGTGGCACACGGGCTTGGTAGTTGTGACTCGTGGGCTCTAGAGCACAGGCTTAGTAGTTGTGGCACACGGGCTTAGTTCTGCGGCATGTGGGATCTTCCCGGACCAGGGCTCGAACCCGTGTCCCCTGCATTAGCAGGCGGATTCTTAACCCCTGCGCCACCAGGGAAGTCCTAAAAGTATTTTTTTAAATGTATCTATGGAAGAGAGGGAAGATCCCACATGCCATGGAGCAACTAAGCCCATGTGCCATAACTACTCAAGCCCGCACGCCTAGAGCCCATGCTCCGCAACAAAGAGTAGCCCCCACTCGCTGCAACTAGAGAAAGCCCGCGTGCAGCAGTGAAGACCCAATGCAGCCATAAATAAATACATAAATGTATAAAAAAATAATAATACTTTTATAGTATATGCCTACTCACAAGAATTCCTTGAAATAGGATCTAAGTCATTTTATGTTTCTATTTTTGGTACTAGCATAGTGTTTGGCGCCTATACAGTAGGGATTAAAGATTTATTAAATGAGTGTGTGCTTCTAGCTTTTTAAACTGTTGATTGGCTACTCTTTCTCTCTCTTTCTGCTGCTTCTGTATTTTTATTTGCTGAAGCAGTGAGAATAGGTTTTATGCTTCTCCCCCTTAGGAAGAAAACATACAGAGATTGACTTAAAAACAGAACCAATGATGCTTTATATGTAACATTTATTTAAACATCCTTCCTAGATGAAGTAACTGGAGATGTTTACTGTTTTATTCACAGAGAGTGATGGACAACACAATATTTGGGAACAGAAATGACATTAGACACAAAGGGTTGAGAAACATATATTGGTGATAGATGTAAAGAACAGTCAATTTATTAGCTTAATTTTTTTTCCCACTGGGAGAAATATCCCCAAGTTTTAGCAGTAGGGTAACTTAGTTTATCAAAGTTTATGAACCACAAACATAAAAAATAAGTTTCCATAATATATATGTGAAAAGTAGCACACATGTTCTATTAGCTATATAATTCATAACCTGATAACCTGTTAAATTATTAATCATATATTTTCTATTTTCCACTATAGGTTCAAGCAATAAATGCAGGAGTGTTTTTCTTTAGGTGCACAATATGCAATAATAGTGATATATTTCAGAAAGAGATGTTGAGAATGGGAATTCATATTCCTGAAAAGTGAGTAACATTTAGCCTTTTGAGGAAAAGAGGTTTTCAATATAGGATTTAATAACAATGGAAATAATCATTGATGTCTGGTTAATTACTCAAGGACAAGCAGCCATTTCAAATAGGGAAATGTAAAACTGTCCCCGCCACCTTTCCTCCTCCTGCCCAGATTGCTAGTTCTTGAGAACCAGGTACTGACTTAAATGTCTTATTAGTTGTTTATAGTCTCTTAATAATTGTACACCTCACTTGTGTACAATATTGATTAATTGATTGATACACAAGTATAATAGGCTTCAAAATGGTATGTATAGATTATTTGAGAGAATCAAGATGTGGTTTAAAATGTATAAGAAGAATTTTCTTAATACTTAAAGGTGAGGAATCCAAAATATGGTACTAAACTTGAAATTCAAAAAATTGGAAGTGAAATATTAGGAAAAATGTAAGTTTCAGGAAATTTCTACTTAATTTTTCATTTAGCATTTGAAATTCACTGTGAGACTAATTAACTAGTATAAAATGACACTAAGGGATGTACATCTTGAAGTGAATGATTAATCGTAAAAAGAACAAGTTTCATCCTTGTTCCTAAGTTTGTGAAGAGTTTATACTTTTAGATTCATTATCAGTCCTTTTATGTATTTTAGACCAAAGTATATTTTATATCTTGCTTCATTTACAGAGATGCATCTTGGGAATTAGAGGAAAATGCTTATCAAGAGCTTCTGCAGCACTATGAGCATTGTGATGTCCGAAGATGTCGTTGCAAAGAAGGGCGAGACTATAATGTGCCTGACAGGTATATGGGGAAGTTCAGTTGTGCTTAGTGTCCTTTCTTTTTTTTTTTTTTTTTTTTTTAAACATCATTTTTGGAGTATAATTGCTTTACGATGGTGTGTTAGTTCCTGCTTTATAACAAAGTGAATCAGTTATACATATACATATGTTCCCATATCTCTTCCCTCTTGTGTCTCCCTCTCTCCCACCCTCCCTATCCCACACCTCTAGGTGGTCACAAAGCACTGAGCTGATCTCTCTGTGCTATGCGGCTGCTTCCCACTAGCTATCTAGCTTCCCACTAGCTATTTTATGTTTGGTAGTGTGTGTATGTCCATGCCACTCTCTCACTTTGTCACAGCTTACCCTTCTACCTACCTATATCCTCAAGTCCATTCTCTAGTAGGTCTTTTGGTCTTGTTTATGGTTTCCTTTGCTGTGCAAAAGCTTTTAAGGTTCATTAGGTCCCATTTGTTTATTTTTGGTTTTATTTCCATTTCTTTAGGAGGTGGGTCAAAAAGGATCTTGCTGTGATTTATGTCATAGAGTGTTCTGCCTATGTTTTCCTCTAAGAGTTTGATAGTTTCTGGCCTTACCCCTAGGTTCTTCATGACATTTTTTTTTTCTTAGATTCCATATATATGTGTTAGCATATGGTATTTGTCTTTCTCTTTCTTACTTCACTCTGTATGACAGACTCTGGGTCCATCCACCTCACTACAAATAACTCAATTTCATTCCTTTTTATGGCTGAGTAATATTCCATTGTACATATTTGCCACATCTTCTTTATCCATTCATCCGATGATGGACACTTAGGTTGCATCCATCTCCTGGCTGTTGTAAGTAGAGCTGCAATGAACATTTTGGTACATGACTCTTTTTGAACTATGGTTTTCTCAGGGTATATGCCCAGTAGTGGGATTGCTGGGTCATATGGTAGTTCTATTTGTAGTTTTTTAAGGAACCTCCATACTGTTCTCCATAGTGGCTGTACCAATTCACATTACCACCAGCAGTGCAAGAGTGTTCCCTTTTCTCCACACCCTCTCCAGCATTTATTGTTTATAGATGTTTTGTTTTGTTTTGTTTTTTGGTACGCGGGCCTCTCACCGTTGTGGCCTCTCCCGTTGCAGAGCACAGGCTCGGGACACGCAGGCTCAGCGGCCATGGCTCACGGGCCCAGCCTCTCCGCAGCATGTGAGATCTTCCCAGACCGGGGCATGAACCCACATCCCCTGCATCAGCAGGTGGACTCTCAACCACTGTGCCACCAGGGAAGCCCTGTTTCTAGATGTTTTGCTGATGGCCATTCTGACTGGTGTGAGATGATATCTCATTGTAGTTTTGATTTGCATTTCTCTAGTGATTAATGATGTTGAGCATTCTTTCATGTGTTTGCTGGCAATCTGTATATCTTCTTTGGAGAAATGTCTATTTAGGTCTTCTACCCAGTTTTGGATTGAGTTGTTTGTTTTTTTGTTATTGAGCTGCATGAGCTGCTTGTAAATTTTGGAGATTAATTGTCAGTTGCTTCATTTGCAAATATTTTCTCCCATTCTGAGGATTGTCTTTTGGTCTTGTTTATGGTTTCCTTTGCTGTGCAAAAGCTTTTAAGGTTCATTAGGTCCCATTTGTTTATTTTTGTTTATATTTCCATTTCTTTAGGAGGTGGGTCAAAAAGGATCTTTCTGTGATTTATGTCATAGAGTGTTCTGCCTATGTTTTCCTCTAAGAGTTAGATAGTTTCTGGCCTTACATTTAGGTCTTTAATCCATTTTGAGCTCATTTTTGTGTGTGGTGTTAGGGAGTGTTCTAATCTTGTACTTTTACATGTACCTGTCCAGTTTTCCCAGCACCACTTATTGAAGAGGCTGTCCTTTCTCCCCTGTACATTCCTGACTCCTTTATCAAAGATAAGGTGACCATATGTTCATGGGTTTATATCTGGGCTTTCTATCCTGTTCCATTGATCTTTCTGTTTTTGTGCCAGTACCATACTGTCTTGATTACTGTAGCTTTGTAGTATAGTCTGAAGTCAGGGAGCCTGATTCCTCCAGCTCCATTTTTCGTTCTCAAGATTGCTTTGGCTATTCGAGGTCTTTTGTGTTTCCATACAAATTGTGAAATTTTTTGTTCTAGTTCTGTGAAAAATACCAGTGGTAGTTTGACAGGGATTGCATTGAATCTATAGATTGCTTTGCGGAGTAGAGTCATTTTCACAATGTTGATTCTTCCAGTCCAAGAACATGGTTTATCTCTCCATCTATTTGTATCATCTTTAATTTCTTTCATCAGTGTCTTATAATTTTCTGCATACAGGTCTTTTGTCTCCTTAGGTAGGTTTATTCCTAGATATTTTATTCTTTTTGTTGCAGTGGTAAATAGAAGTTTTTTCTTGATTTCACTTTCAGATTTTTCATCATTAGTGTATAAGAATGCCAGAGATTTCTGTGCATTAATTTTGTATCCTGCTACTTTACCAAATTCATTGATTAGCTCTAGTAGTAGCATCTTTAGGATTCTCTATGTATAGTATCATGTCATCTGCAAACAGTGACAACTTTACTTCTCCTTTTCCCATTGGATTCCTTTTATTTCCTTTTCTTCTCTGATTTCTGTGGCTAAAACTTCCAAAACTATGTTAAATAAGAGTGGTGAGAGTGGGCAACCTTGTCTTGTTCCTGATCTTAGTGGAAATGCTTTCAGTTTTTCACCATTGAGTACGATGTTGGCTGTGGGTTTGTCATATATGGCCTTTATTATTTTGAGGAAAGTTCCCTCTATGCAGGGAACCCTACTTTCTGCAGGGTTTTTATCATAAATGGGTGTTGAATTTTGTCAGAAGCGTTCTCTGCATCTATTGAGAATGATCATATGGTTTTTCTCCTTCAATTTGTTAATATGGTGTATCACGTTGATTGTTTTGCGTATATTGAAGAATCCTTGCATTCCTGGAATAAACCCCACTTGATCATGTTGTATGATCCTTTTAATGTGCGGTTGGATTCTGTTTGCTAGTATTTTGTTGAGGATTTTTGCATCTATGTTCATCAGTGATATTGGCCTGTAGTTTTCTTTCTTTGTGACATCTTTGTCTGGTTTCGGTATCAGTGTGATGGTGGCCTCATAGAATGCCTTTGGGAGTGTTCCTCCCTCTGTTATATTTTGGAAGAGTTTGAGAAGGATGGGTGTTAGCTCTTCTCTAAATGTTTGATAGAATTCGCCTGTGAAGCCATCTGGTCCTGGGCTTTTGTTTGTTGGAAGATTTTTAATCACAGTTTCAATTTCAGTGCTTGTGATTGGTCTGTTCATATTTTCTATTTCTTCCTGATTCAGTCTTGGCAGGTTGTGCATTTCTAAGAATTTGTCCATTTCTTCCAGGTTGACCGTTTTATTGGCATAGAGTTGCTTGTAGTAATCTCTCATTATCTTTTGTATTTCTACTAGTGTCCTTTTTTAGACCTTCAGCTTGAGAAAGTAGGTTTTCTAGTTAGTGAAATGTACTTTTGCTCTTAGGATGTTTGAAGTTTTAACTTGAGATGAGGTATATTTATTAAATGCATATTTACATCTGTTTACAGAAATTATTGCAGTTGGCATAATTGTAACTTTTGTGGTGTGTTTTCTTGAGGCTTTGTTTTCTGGAGCTCTCCTGTGGTAGCCAGTAACCACAGGTGGCTATTGAGCACTTGAAATGTGGCATTCCAAATTGAGAGGTGTCGTAAGTGTAAAATACACACCGAAGACTAATATGTATCTTAGTTTACTAGGACTGCCATCACAAAATACCACAACCCGGGTGGCTTAAACAACAGAAATTTTTCTTCTCAGAAACCTAGAGGCCAGACATCCAAGATAAAGGCATTGGCAGGTTTGATTTCTCTTGAAGCCTCTTTCCTTGGCTTGCACGTGGCTCCCTTCCAGCTGTGTCCTTCTGTCTGTGCCTTAATCTTTTTTTCTTATTAGGATACCAGTCATATTGGATTAGGACCCACGCATATGGCCTCAGTTTGTCTTAATTATCGCTTTAAAGGCCCTATCTCCAGCTACAGTCACCTTGTGAAGTACTGGGTGTTAGGTCTTCAACATATGAATTCTGGGCGTGACAGAATTCAGCCCATAACAGTAAGAAAAAAAGACCTTAAAATATCTTGTTAATAATTTTTTAAATTGATTACCTGCCAGACAAAATGACTATATTTTGGAAATACTCAAATTTATTTCACCTGTTTCTTTTACCTTTTTAAATCTGGTTACTAGGAAAGTTTAAATTACATATATGATTTACATTATATTTCTATTGGATGACACTGTTCTAGAGGTTAAGAAACTAGGTTAGTCTATCAGTGTTTGTTTTGGATCACTGTAAGAAGGATTTGGCATTTGAAATTTATTGATTACTCTTTTGTAATATCCGTAGACGTTGGCTATGTTAACAATCGTTTTTTGCCTTCTCTGTACACTATACTGTGTGGGGTATTAGAAATCAAGAGTATCTTTATTTTTTAAGATGCAGGATAAAAAGTAACAAATCTAATTTTGTTGAAATTTTGATAAATTTTTATCCCTGTTATGTAGTCTTAATTAATATGGCAAACTGAAACTTAAAGTGCAGAGCAGAATATTGGGAGCCTTATCTCTTATGGAAAGTGATTTGGCTAGGTGAGCTACTACTTATTTTGGAAGACTCAGCTGAAGTCTTGCAAGCTTTGGAAAGTTTCCCCTAAGAAGCTCTTACTATTCCTGATTCCCTGTTCTGGGCTGGATTTTCCCTTCATTGTGATTGTTACAATAGAGTTGACAATATTTAAATTTGTCTTTGCCATTAGACACTAAAGATTCATTAAGGGTGGAGGTCTCATTGAAGATGTCCAGTAATGTGTATTCTTGCCTAAATTACTTGATCTGGTGACCCTGATTATTCATCTGTAAACACTAATAATACCCTGCTCAAGGGTTGTGCTGAGGTAGAGATGAGATTAATGTATATAAAGTGCTTTGTAGACAGTAAAGCACTTTACAGTTCTAAGAAGCAATATATTCATTAATAATGATATTTTCTAAATTCATTTTGGGCTATTTTGATTAATATACATATTTCTTGTATACCTCTGGTCACCTAATCATTTGCTACCAAACTCCCTTTTCTTTCTGGCAGCTACTTTGCCTTTTCTCCTAGGACACAGAGTCCTGCTATCTGAATGCTTTCTTTGCAGTCTCACTCCCTCTCATCCTAGTGATAGGAAGGTAATTTGCTGAAAGGCAGCATGGTGGAGTGGTTAGGAGCATGGGTCTAAAGCCAGGTAAACTGGATTGGAAGCCTCACTCTGAGACTTACTAACAGTGTGAACTTGTTTGGGCAAGCAATTTACCCCTCTATGCTTTGGTTTCCTCTTCTTCAAAATGGAGGTAACTGGTTTTTCCAACCTTCTGAAATTTTTCCAACCTTCTGAAACTTTACATGAAAAGAGTGAGAACTGGGCCTGGTGTATAAGCACTCGTTAGCTGTCATCTTTCTTCCTCTTCATCGTCAGTTGGCAGAACTATCTGGGGAAGAGAGGGAGACACAGAGAGGACATACCCCTACACACCCATGTCCACACAGAGGGAGATTTGCCCACACCTACAAGAGGTGAAGTTACGCAGCTAAGTCTCTTATCACCCACATATTCACACACTCAGGGAGTATATCCATTTCTGTACAGATGGATACATTCATAACCAATCAAAGAGGAGGCTGCACGCTATAACCCACACCCGTACAGAAAATGTGAATGCTGACTGGCGCATGTCACACAACACAGTGGGGAACATTGGGAGTGGGGTATTGAGGGGAAAAGATGAGAGAGAATATGAATGCGGATCAGGTAGTAAGTCTGGATCCTTTTGAGCTACACAGTACTTGGGGTGTCTGAGCAAGCTTATTGTAGGAAATAATTCCTCACCTTGAATGGGAAAGGTAGTATTTTAGGTAAGATAATGTATTTACTGAATGCTTCTTCCATATCAGACATACTTTGGGTATATGTGCATGTACATGCTGATAATTTAGTTTAGTATTTTAAGATAGAGAATATTTAAAGAAGGAAGTTACAAACATAATAAATGAAATGGGGGGAAAAACAACTTTAGGAAAAAGTAATGCAGTATCAAAGCAGATAATTTATTTCCCTTCCTTGGGTAAAAGGGTTGGCTGTGTGTGTGAGGTGGACAGTGAGGTGTGCAGTGGTGCTGATGGTCGGAATTAGACTAAGTTAATACCACATGGAAATAATCTGCTTCTCTTTATGTCCTCAGCAAATGGGAAATAAAGCGCTGTCAGTGTTGTGGTTCTCGCGGAACACATCTAGCCTGTTCCTCACTACAGTCATGGGAACAAAATTGGGAATGTTTGGAATGTAGAGGTATTCTTTACAATTCAGGTAATATTTTGTGATTTTGAATAAAGATGTTTTTATTTAAATGCATATTATTCAAAAGTTTCTACCTATATTCCTATTATACTAACATTGGGTTTTAAATCTGTAGGCGATTTCCAAAAAGCCAAAAAACACACATTACCCAACACTAATGTGGGAATAACTGATTGTTTGTTGGAGGAATCTTCACCTAAATTACCCAGACAGTCTCCTGGAGCCCAGCGTGAAGACCTGCTGAGGTGTGTATTTTGAATTGGAGAAAAATATAAAACTCTGTTTTGAGAAAATTATAACAGGAAGTAGCTATATACATTTAGAGTATTAGCTGTTCTCAGAGTAGTTTGGAAGGGTATTTTTCAAACTGCAGTCCCTAATTTGATGTAGAAAGAGGATCCTTGGATATTGCCCCTAACAGGATTATTTTGAGTACATTAATTCCAATTACAGATGGAGAAACTGAGGCAGGGAACAATTGAGTTAGTCCAGATAATTGTCTGGAGGTCTTGTTAGGGCACTGGTTGCCGGGCCTCATGCTCAGAGGTTCTGATTCTGTTTATCTGCTGCGGGGCTTAAGAAGCTGTGTTTCTAACAAGTTTCCAGGCACGGCAGCTGCTGCTGTTGCTGGTCTGGGGCCACACTTTGAGAATTAATAGTGTAAACTGAAAAGTACTATTTAAAGGAGTGTGAATTCTGCTTAAAATATGTAATCTCTTAAAAATATAGTTCTCTCATACAGTGAGCAGAGATTACATTTGCTCTATCTTTAAAGGATCTAGTGAACATGAAATAAGATACAGTTAAAAGCAGAAACTAACACACCATTGTAAAGCAATTATACTCCAATAAAGATGTTAGGGAAAAAAAAAAAAGATGCAGTTAAGCAACTATGTCCAGGGAGGTAAGAGTTAGAGCTTTTGACTCTTATACCTAAATCCAGTGAATTGTATAACATTAGGTGATTTTAATTTGGTAAAAGATTGGGTAGAGGGAATCAAGAATTTAGAACTAAGGTTATCAAATAACTTTTTGGTTCCACTGGCGGCCATTGTTTGCTTTTGGGTGGGAGTTGGGGAAGAGCTTCTTTCTATTCTTTTTTTATTTGGCTGTGTAACTGCTGTGACACGTAAAGTACTTTAGAGTACTTACCTCTATGTTTAAATTCATGTTTTATAGGCAAGGCAGCAAATTTAGAAGAGATATTTCAACTCTAATAATAGAGCTAGGATTCCAAATTAAAAAAAAAGCTAAAAGATTATTTATCAACAAAGCCAATATCTGGAATAGTGCCTTAGATGGATTCAGAAATCAAAACTTTAATCCTTCATATACAATTGAAGTAGCATATGTTAATGAAAATGATCATTTTGGAAAAGAGCAGCCTGGATCAAAGCAAGAATTCCTAAGTCTCTTAATGCAGCAACTTGAGAACTCACCATTGTTTGAAGGGTCCTTGTCAAAGAACTTGTCTCTCAATTCTCAAGGTAACTATTTTCTTTATTATTGTACGTACTGAATATATCATGTGTTAAGAAAGAGATAGCAGGTTAGAATTGATACTCAATACCTGTCAAAATGTATAATCACTTTGTTACTAAAATAATGATAGAATCACAGAAAAGGGGGGAAGTGATGTTTTTTAAAATAAATTTTGTAGTGAAACATTTTTTATTTTAGAATATCCTTAATTTCTTTATAGCAAAATCCTCCTTAAAGTGATTCTATAATTAAGTATAACTTCTTAAAAATGTACTTAATTTTAATTTTAATTCATTTGAATAGAGTGGCCAAATGAGATGAATGAGTTTTTGAGCTCTTCTTGTTCATATATTTGAAATTTGCAGTTGGCATGTTTCTTCACAACCTAGGATTTTTATAACATAATTTTTTGGTTCACATATAACAGATTTTTAGCATACTTTTGCTTTCAAGAGTTTTTTTTTTAATTTAACAGAATTATGTATATGATACTTTTCTGTCTTTACTTCTGGTAAGGAATTAATGTGATTAAAACAGGCATCTCAAAACACTGGTTAATTCTAGCATTCTTTTTTTAGGAGCTTTTATAACCACTTTTGTTGTAATAGGAATTTGAGAGAGAGTGAGAAGACATATCATCCCATTTGACTTCCTTCTATGTTTTCTTTAGAACTTCCTCACCATTGCCTGAAGTATCATTGAAATAATTGAGAAACTACCAAGGATCATTAGTACTATGTATAGTACACACAGTTTAATTCTACACTGTAAAAATGCTCCAAGTAATCAGTATGTTAATTCATGGCAGTTTTGGTACAGTGGAGAGAGTACATGGAATTTAAGTCACAAAATCTGAGTTCAGTTTGTACACATCTACTTCAGTAGCTTTATTTCCCTAGATTAATTGCATAGCCCCTCTGGATCTCAGTTTCTTCATCTGTAAGATGTGACTACTAATATGTAGTATATAAGGTTATTGTTGAGGAGATTTTATTATTATTTTAGGTATTGTTAATGTTACTTATTAATAAATTACTTTTAATTTTTAGAAAAAATAAAGGAAAATTTACATGATATCTTTTTGAGTTATCGAAGTAGCTAAAACATTTTTAATGACACATTGAAAAATATTGTGATGATATGGTAAGATAACATATAGTGTTGAGAGTTAATTTGTACCATTTTGTATATCAGCAACCTTAAAATTGTTCATATCCTTTGAACCACTAATACCGTATGTAGGAATCTATCCTAATAATCAAAGATATATAAACAAGAATGTGTAAGTAGATGTTGACTGTAACATTGTGTCTCATGTATTTGAAACTGGGCTAGCCAGTAATAAGGGGGTGGTTTACATTGCAGCACATCTGTAAATTAGTTTGAATGCATTCATTAACTGTATATTTGAATAATTTCAAGTAATATTTTAAAAATTTACAATACAGTAAGTGGAAAAAGACAGTGTGTATTATAATGTGTGTGTATTATAAATACACCAAAGTGTGTACACTGGTTATTATGGTGGTAGGATTATAGGTGATTTTATAAAAAGATTTTCCGTATTTACATATTTTTCTATAATAGATTGTTACTTTGAATTCAGAAAAAAAATTTGTAAAATTGTATATTTTAGTTGAAATTTATATTTTATACATTGTTATACCTTCTATGAATTAGGTTATTTTATATTTGTCTAAAGCTTGGATTTTTAAATTTTTAATTTATTATATATGTATTAATTACATATGATGGTTATATAATAATAAAAGAAGTGTATTTGATATATTTTATCTGTATTTACAGCTCTGAAAGAGAATCTTTACTATGAAGCTGGCAAAATGCTTGCCATTTCTTTGGTTCATGGTGGTCCTTCACCTGGTTTCTTTTCTAAAACCTTATTTAACTGCCTTGTTTATGGACCAGAAAGTACCCGACCAATTTTAGACGATGTCTCAGACTTTGATGTGGCACAGATTATAATCAGGGTAAGAAATGTACCTGTTTGTTCAGATGTAGACTGTGTTCTAGGTGTATTTGAATATAAATGATGGATCTGCAATAGAATAATACTCTTTGTGGAGTAGTTAAGGGGTGTCATTATTTTTGTTTACCAACAAAGTTAACAACCATTTAAGAGACAGATGTAAAGGGCAGGCAGCTAGAGATCAAAGTGCCATGTTTAATGTTGATAAAACCAGTTGGATAATGTGACTTAGATCTGTGGTCAGAATGGCTTGCTAACACTCCTCAGAACTAGATGGATTTATCTGCCCTGCCAGGGACAACATAAGGCAGGTTCCTTGTTGCATGCTCAAGAGCAGATGAAAGTGCACTTCCCTGTCGTCAGGTGGAGCTGAAGAAAGGATGGTTACCAGCAGAAAATTTATCCTTCCTCCTACAGGGAGATATGAGTGATGGATGGAGAGAAAGACCAGGCTGAATTTCTTCTCTGTGGAAACAGTTGGGGAGACTCAGTGTTCCTCCCCTCAAAATAGTTACTATGGGCTTCCCTGGTGGAGCAGTGGTTGAGAGTCCACCTGCCGATGCAGGGGAAGCGGGTTCGTGCCCCGGTCCGGGAAGATCCCACATGCTGCGGAGCGGCTGGGCCCGTGAGCCGTGGCCGCTGAGCCTGCGTGTCCAGAGCCTATGCTCCGCAACGGGAGAGGCCACAACAGTGTGAGGCCCGCATACCACACATACACACACAAAAAATAGTTACCATTTATTAAGCCCTGTACTACACATGTTATCTGTACAAACTCAGTTTACTCATCATAAGTAACATTGCCCGAGTGTTACTGATTTAGAAAGTAATGAAACAGTTGAGACAATGAAATCCAATTCAACTTTTCTTCCCTTAACTTGTCCCATACTTAAGCCTACTCTATCCATTGTCTCAGTTAATAGGCAGTATAGTTTAATGGTTAAAAACAAATGCTCAGAAGTCAGATTTTAGTTTGAAATAACTGATATAAGCTATGTGACCTTGGGCATGTTGGGTTAATCTTGTTAAGCCTCAAGTTTCTAAACCAGAAAGAAACCTGGAAATGTGTTATTTTAATAATTCTGTGTATTTTGCCCAAGACTCCTCATTCTAAAATGGTATTTTAAACTGACCCTTTAACCCTTCAATTTATTTTTTCTTTTCTCTTTATGAGAAAAAATGTACTTTAACTTCATTGTCTCCACTTCCTCTTTCCTACTCATTTAAGTTACAGTCAGACTTCTGTTCCCACCACTACTCTTCTGAGTTAGCTAGTTCATTGCTGTTATGCAGGGATCTAAATCTCCACATGCAAAGGCCTTTCTTTTCTAATTCCTCATCTCCTCTGACTTCTGCAATTACCACTGTATTTGAACTCATCTCTATTGTTTTCTTTAATATCTACTCCCTCCTACTTTTGACTATTACTGTCTTTTTAATGCTTCTTCTTCCTACCCCTAAAACTTAGGTAATTTTCAGTGTTGTCTTAACAGTCCTTCTATACTATTTGGAAAGAGTCTCCTCATCTATAACCTTTCTGATGATTTCCAGACGTGTATTTTTGAGCTCCTAGATGTTTATATCCAGGTAAGATCTGGGTCTTCCTACCAATTTGAGCACAGCATGTTTAGGACAGAACTAATTTTTTTCCCAGAATTTGGTTTTTTGCCTGATTTTCCTTTTCTTTTCAAGAGATTTCTTATTTCCAAGTTATTCTGGAGACAGGGTTGTTTTCATTCTTCCATACTCCATTTATCAGTTTGTGTCAACTCATCTGTCTCTAACAGTGGCCTTTCCTTCTTATTTTTAGTATGCTTACTATACCAAACTCAGGTCATATCTAAGTTTAAACAATTAAGATATTATTCTAATCATCTTCTTCAGGATGATTCTTTCACAAGTACAGGTTTGACCACATTGCTTTCTTCCTCAGGAATCCTAATGGATTCTCATTGCCTATTGAATGGAGTTCGAGTTCTTCATTAGAGCACTTGGAGCTCTCCTCACGGCTTTACTAACTCCAGTTTTTGTACTCCTAGCCAGTGTTCCTTCACTGATTTAGTCAACAGATATATATATCTACAAGGTGCTATGTACCCCATATGGTTTTTTGTTTGTTTTTATTATTTATTTGGTTCTGCAAGGTCTTAGTTGTGGCAGGTGGGCTCCTTAGTTGCAGCTGGTGGGCTCCTTAGTTGTGGCATGCGAACTCTTAGTTGTGACACGCATGTGGGATCTAGTTCCCTGACCAGGGATCGAACCTGGACCCCCTGCACTGGGAACACGGAATTTTAACTACTGCGCCACCAGGGAAGTCCCTGTATCCCATACTGTTTTATCACTGAAGATAAAGTAGTGAACCAAACAAAGCCCCTGCCTTCTTGGAATTTACATATTAGAGGAACGACAAGATAAATAAATATATAATATACTGTCATGTAGTAAAATATATTATAAAAATAGAACAGAGTAAGAGGAAGGATATCTTTTCCAAGATAATGCTTGGGGTATAGTAAGTTAAAGCATAGGCTAAGCTTCTGTAACAAAGAGACCCAAAAGACAATGGCTCAAAAAAGGCAGATATTTATTTTTTTTCTAAAATCTAGATTTTAGAGTAGGAGTTGGCAAACTATAGCCGTAGGCCAAGTCTTGCCTCCTGCCTTTTTAAAGCTTTATTGGAACACAAACACAGCCATTTGTTATGTGTCTGTGACTGCTTTTACACTACAGTGGTGGAGTTTAGTAGTTGTGACAAGCACCACATGGCCCACAAAACATAAAATGCTATCTGGCCTTTACAGAAATGGCTCCTGTTTTAGAGGTACAATTGTGATACACCAAGTCACCAAGAGAATTGGATTCCTTCCTCTTGTGTAATCATTTAGGATATTGTCTTCATAGCTGAAGCTTGCCGTACAGGGAGAAAGTGGAAGTAGAGTGCAGGGAAATTTGACACATTTTCACTCATGTCCCATTGGACAGCTCTTAGTCACATAAGGCCACACTAGCTTTAAGGTAAGTTTGGCTATATGCCCAGCTAAAACTTAGGGTGATGGGTTTGGGAGGATGAGAACATAAACCCAACTATTAGAGTGTGAAGGTAGTTTGAACAGGGTAGTCAGGAAAAACTTCTGAGGTCACAGGAGAGATCTGAAATAAATGAGGGAATCACGTAAATACCTGGAAGAAGAGTTTTTTGGAAGAAAGAAATAGCAAGGAGATTTTCCATTCAAATGGACTTTGCCTCCTCATTTTATCTTTCTCCCTCTGTAACTTTGTTCAAGAGCTAACCTATGTGAAAGTGTCTGGCACATAAATGGTGAAGTATATCTTTGTTTATGTTGTTCCCTCAAATACTCTTGAGTGTATCCATTTTTTTAAATCTCAGCTATTCTTTCTTTCATGAAATCTCTGCAGGTCCTCTTTCTTGCCTCTCTAGTGCTATGTAACTGTTCTATATCAGTTACTGCCTTTTATGGAAGTAATTTCCTATATTAAAGTGGCATTATAGTCTAGATTTCTTGAAACCTAGGTTTTGGCAGAAATATACAGTATTTATTAAACTGGATTATCAGACATTTATTCTAGGAAAATAATTCTTAGTATACTTTCACTTCACCCAGGTGTACTCAAGAATTGAGTATAAAGTAATGTGTCATTTGAAATGTAGATATCTTTCACAAGTAAATGAGTAAACTGGGTATATTTTCTTCTTCATTACAGATAAATACTGCAGCAACTGTGGCTGACTTAAACTCTTTAATAAATGAATATTATAACTACCTAGAGCTTATTGGATGCCTAAGACTTATAACATCATTAAGTGATAAATATATGTTGGCAAAAGACATACTTGTTTATCATGTAATTAAGAGAGTCCAAGCACCTTTTGAAAGGTAAGTTGTTCATATGTTAAGGATTCTCTCAAATTACATGTTTAAAGTGGTTAATTGTCTTACAATGTGAAATATATTTGATAAAATGTAAATGCTATTTTAAACTAATGCTTTAAAACTAACCTCTTATGGATGAATACTGTTCTTACCATTCTACACAGAATTGCTTAAATGTATACTGTTTAGGTAGGAAAAGTAATCGTTATCTCAATTTATAATTAATTTTTCTAAATAAAAATTATTTTTATGTCCTCACACACTGCTGTTCTTTTAATAGTGGGAAATCTAAAATATATATGAAAGTAGGCAGAGTGATACACCATGTAATCACCACCCAGATCTAACAGTTATCAACCAACCAGTGGCCAGTCTAGTTTAGCTAGCCTTCCCTTGTTATTGACTCCAGTTTCATTTTCAAGCAAATTTTAAAATTTCAGTATCATTAATCTATGTATTTAATGTATTCAAAACTGTTATAGTTGGCTATCCTTACTGAAGTTCAGATTGTCTCATCTTTAACCAGTATAAACCTCTTTATGTTGTTTCTTTTGAGTTCTTTTGGTGTTGACCCTTAATGGTCTTTGATAGCCTTCTTGCTATATGGTATGACAAGGTGTTTCATGCTCCTTTTGTACATTCTGGCCTAATGAGCTTTGTTTCTTTGAATGGGAAATGGTATTTCAAATCCACAATCTGGATGCTAGGGATGCTTGTTTTTGCCACATTGGTCATAGTTTCTAGGCCTTTTCAGTGGACTAAAAGAAGAAATATAGGGGTTTTTTGTTGGGTTATTTTTTGATTTTTTTAAGATGAAGTACATCATAGGTTTCTACTGATACTTCAGATTCACTACTACAAGATTTTTGACTTTTTCTTTGTCCCATGTTCATAATCCCAGTTCTCAAAGTCATTGATGAATTAGAGTATGAAGTAATTCCTTGATTTAATCCACATTTCATAAATAATAGTCACAGAATGATAATGCCAACATTATCATCAGTAACATAACATTATTGAAAATAGGTTAAACTTGTTTTTCTATTTCTTTTTGTTCTAGGGCTATGCAGTCAAATTACTGTGTTTTAAAGTCATTTGGCATTGTTATTTTCTTTGTTGTTATATTACTAACTGGGTATACATTTTATTTTCATTTTTTATCTTATTTTTTCTTTTTATTGACTTTTATTAAAGTTTGATTTTATTTTAAAATTATATAAAATGTTTGCATGATTCCAAAGTCAAATCTATAATGACAGTACATTGAAAGGACTCAGCTCTGTCATTACAAATTATATTAAGATAAGGATAGCTTTCATCCTTATCACACCTACCTTCCATCCCCTATGAAGTAATTATTTTAGTGGCTTTTACTGTTTATCCTTCCATTATTTTTTTAACTGATAGCAGATAAATATATGAGTATATGTGTGTGTGTATATTCATTTCTTTTATTAGATAAATAGTAACATACTGTCCACCCTTTTTCCTCCTCATTTTTTACTTGACAGTATATGGTCCTCATTCTTTTTTTAGAGCTCTACAGAACTTAAGCACTCTTCCAAATTAAAATTTAATATGACATCATAAGCTTAAACAGTTGTAAAGGATATAATTTCCAATATATATATATATATTTTTAAATAAATTTATTTATTTCTGGCTGCGTTGGGTCCTCACTGCTGCACACGGGCTTTCTCTGGCTGTGGCAAGAGGGGGCTACTCTTCGTTGCAGTGTGCAGGCCTGTCATTGCGGTAGCTTCTCTTGTTGTGGAGCATGGGCTCTAGGCGTGCGGGCCTCAGCAGTTGCTGCACGGGCTCAGCAGTTGTGGCTCGCGGGCTCTAGAACACAGGCTCAGCAGTTGTAGCACACAGGCCCAGCTACTCCACAGCAATGTGGGATCTTCCCAGACCAGGGCTTGAACCCATGTCCCCTGCATTGGCAGGTGGACTCTTAACCACTGAGCCACCAGGGAAGCCCTCCAATGTATTTTTAATACTGTAATTAAAGTAACACTGTTACATAACTGTTTAAAATGTATCCAAGTGTCTCTGACTATAAGATTCTTACATAGCAAAATTTTCTTACAGTTAGAATTACCATTCATAATTATGATTAATACACAGAATAATTCAAATATATTATAAATTTTGATGCAGTTATTTAAAAACTTATTTGAAATGTATCTCTTAATGACAGAGATGTACAAATATTTTTTTCCCAAGGAATTCATATGTCTACAGATGGATTTTTTCTCATTGCTAAGTTAGATAACTCATTGCTGTTTGTTTATTTTGTGTGTGTGTTTGTGTTTATAGGTATGAGTAGTCTAGTTGTCAGGAAAGGCTTCCCTATCTGTATAAGTGGTGTTTAAATTAAACCCTGACTTATAAATAGGAGGCAGATCAAGATGAAGAGGGCAAGAGAAAAGAAGCTGAAGACTGATCCCTCCTTTTATGTGAAAGATAAATCATATAGCAAAAAACAATATTTTAAAGCTCAAGAGTCCTGTAGATGTCAGAAATAACAAGGAAATCAAAAGCCATAGTACCTCTTTATTCCTGCCCTGCAACTAGGTTCATCATGGGGTAGGAGGGCGAAGTTGGGGGGAAGTGAGAGTAGCATCGACATATATACACTACCGAATGTAGAATAATTGGCGGTGGGAAGTTGCAGCATAGTACAGGGAGATTGGCTCAGTGCTTTGCGATGACCTAGAGGGGTGGGATAGGGAGGATGGGAGGGAGGCTCAAGAGGGAGGGGATATGGGGACATGTGTATGCATATGGCTGATTCACTTTGTTGTGCAACAGAAACTAACACAGTATTGTGAAGTAATTATGCTCCAGTAAAGATCTATTAAAAAAAAAAAAAAAAGCCATGGTACCCTAAATGTCATATGAAATCAGAACCCTCAGTTTGCCCCAAACTTGGGTTTGGCATTCTGAATGGACCCCAATCTAAACCAAAGACATTAACAAAGTAATTGGTCTTAGGATTCATAGTACTTACAGAGTGCCAGGCAAAAGCAAATACGTAACAGTGTTTAGGGAAATTTCTACAGCCTGAGCCTGATGGGAATGCTAAAGTTACATTGCTAAAGAAGAGGAGGTTCCAATAAAAGACGAAACACAACCATCCTAAACAGCAAGTATTGGGAATAGCACATCAAGGTTTTAAATAACAGGACAAACTGAGACATAAAAAGTTATTACAGTGATTTAAAAGAAAAAAAAAAACCCAAACATAAAATGTGAAATGAATCAAATAGTGCTTCTAAGTTGAAAAATGATCATAGACTTCCAGTTGTGGATAACGTGGAATAGACACTCTTCTCTCTATTCTTCCTGATAAGCACAGTTAAAAACCCTGAACAGTGTTAATAAAACAAACTTAAGAAGACTTTTGAAAGGTAGAGAGATGAAAGCAGACCAGCTGGGGATCTCAGCAAGGACACAGCTGAGAGAAGTCTAGACATTCTTATTGGAAGGAAAACTAAACGATTTGGCACCAGCAGATCTACCCTAAAAGAATGCCTATGGGAATATTTTGAAATAGAAAGCAAATTATTAAAGGTGGAATCTTGGAACATCAGGAAGGAAGAAAGAATAATGAAAAGAATAAAAGCATGTCTCCTCTTGTGTCTACTAAATTATGTTTGATGGCTGAGGCAAAAATTATTCTCTAATGTGGTTCACAATGTATATAAAAGAAATACTTAGGAAATTATAAACAGCAAAAGGCAAAGGGACATGAAGGGAAGTAATGTTTCTATACTTGAACTGATAAAATGTTGGCAGCAGTAAATTATTACATTTTTTAAAAAATCTGCACATAGAGATACACTCAAAACACTATAGATAAAAATGGAATCCAAAAAAATATTCAAGCAACCAACAGGAAAACAAGGAAAACGAAACAGAAACAAAAATGATCATGGAAATGAAACTTGGTGGTTGTTAAATGCTAGGCCATTGAAGAGAAAAAGAGAGAAAAGGACTGAAACAAGAAATGTCATGAAAGTTAGAATAAGAGCACCCACACATATATTTGAAAAAAGAGATGGAGGCTGGGCAATATTATAGAAAATGCTGCTTGAGAAGTTCTTCAGGTTCAAAGGGCTTAACATGCTGAAGTGTAGTGTACTTTGTGTTGAAATTGTGTTCTGAGCAAAAAGACATTATTGTAAAAATGAGCATCAATTATACTGGACACCTTTTTTTCAGTGACATCAACGTTGAAAACAGACAGCCAAGATAGTAACTTCACAGAGCTAGTTACGTTATCATTCAAGAGAGAGGAGGAAATAAAGACATTTTGAGACAGGTTTACTTCTTTCCTGGAGAGATTAATAAAATATCTACTTAAGGAAGAAAGAAATTGAACCCAGAAGGAAAAAGTAAGATACAAGCACCAGGAGTAAGCAAAGAAATGAAAAAACCTGAATAAATAAAAACAAGCATTGGCCATTTAAAAGACAACTAAATTTTGGTAAGAAATGGTTAAAATAATTAAAATACTAGCTAAAGGTTCATCTGTAAGAAGAGAATGGACATTGTATTTATTGTTTTAAGGAACTTGTATTCTTGAGGTAGTAGTGGGGAAGCATTAATTACCTTAAGATTGTTAAGCCAAGTATATATATTTTAAGGGAAAACTCTAAAATAACAGGAATAGAGTGTGTAACTTCCAAACCAGTTTGATGGGGGTGGGGGTAGAAATAAAGAAAGCATATTTAATCATATAGTGAACAGAAAAAGAGGGATGAAAACAAGCAAGGGAAAACACATGCTCAAAGAAAACATAAGATAGAAAACATATAGGTAATTATATTACATGTAAATAGCTTAGATTCATATTAAAAAGACAGGATCTTAAATTGCATTGCAAATAAATGACTTTAAAGCAAAAAAAGAAAGAAATTCTAATAATCTTTTTAAAAAGCCTTGTCCTTAAATGACCCTAATAGTGTTAAAAAGAACAAATTCTTGGGCTTCCCTGGTGGCGCAGTGGTTGAGAGTCCGCCTGCCGATGCAGGGGACCCGGGTTCGTGTCCCGGTCCGGGAAGATCCCACATGCCACGGAGTGGCTGGGCCCGTGAGCCATGGCCGCTGAGCCTGCGCGTCCAGAGCCTGTGCTCCGCAACGGGAGAGGCCACAACAGTGAGAGGCCCGCATACCACAAAAAAAAAAAAAAAAAAAGAACAAATTCTTTAGGATTCAGCAGTCTTGAATATATTTGTATCTAGCAACATGGCCTCAAAATTTACTAACAATTCTGAGGACTGTTTTATAAAAGGAAGCAAGGCAGGTAGAACATCAAAAAAAAAAATCTTGCTTTAGTGCACTCCACTAATAGATTAAAAGAGAAAAATCAAACAGTCTTCATACAGTTATACATGCGAACAAAGCAATTGCTACATTTAAACATTTATACATAATTTTAAGCTAACAATTTGAAATATCCTTATAAAGATTATCTAGTAAAGATTCAGCAAACATTATCCTTAATGAAGTGTGATAGACGTTCCTCTTAAGGCCATGACGAGCCTGGGATACATATAATTACCCCCTTCATTTCTACAATATGCCGGAGGTCCTAGTAGAGCAACAAGACTAAATGAATAAGTGAATGTTATTAAGGATTGGAAGAATTAAAATTATCATTGGTAGTCTAGATGACTGTCCAACTAAAATAATCTTAGAACTGCTTCTGTAAAGAGTGTAGCAAGGTTACAAGAGGTAAAGGACACTAACAGGGAGGTGTGCAAGTGAGAAGGAATGGTAATGAAAGAAATTTGTTAATTTTAGAGTAACTAAACACTGATTGTACAAAACATTAATGTTTACTTTGGGGATTTATACAAGGTGGAACAAAATGTTTAAGTAGCATAGGAAGAGAGAGCTACCAGAGTTGCAAGTGTTCTAAGGTCTTTGTATTGTTCAGGAAGAGGGTAAATACCTGATTCACTTTAGATTTCAAATATGCCGATTAAAATTTTGAGGTAACCATTTAAAAAATAAGAATTACTATAACTTTTTAAATAGAAGGTAAATTGGAATTTTGTTTTAAAAATACAAAAATCAGCAGGACGGAATAAAAAAATTTTTGTAATTCAGTACAGTTGCCCAGAATAAAGTGACAGAACTAGTTTCCTAAATGTAGTAATAACTATTACTATATAACAATTAGAAAAAATTACTCTCACAAAAGCAAATTGCAGAAAAATAAGTATACGGTATGGTACCATTATTGGAAAGTTTCAAAACAAGCAAACCAATACTAGTTATTTTTTGGGGATACATATATAGTGAAACTAAAATGAAATGCAGGCTATAGTAAAAATTTCAGAATAGGTAAATAGCAGTTTCACATAGTTTTCTTTGTAAAAGGAGAGAAGGGAAACTGATGAATGGGCAGATTTAGTTGAGTGAATAGAATATTTTCTTAAAAATAATCTGAGCAAACATAAAATGTTAATGTCTTTCAAAATCAAGTTACAGTTATGGTTTTCTGTTATTTCCTGGATTTTTATATAAGCTTGAAATATTTCATTTTAATTAAAAGTAAAATTACAAGGGTGAACTTAAGTTTGGCTGAAATTTGCTTCAAAGGTAGGTGTAAGGTGAAAGTTAAAAGCAAGCAAGAAAGGCAGCAATTGTATTGTGGAGGACCTTAAAAGCCATGTTAAGGAGTTTGGACTTTATTTCATGTGCAGAGTGTGTATTATTAGTTTCCTATGGCAGTTGTAAAAAATTATCACAAACTGAGTGGCTTAAAACAAAAGAAATTTATTCTCCCATAGTTTTGGAGGCTAGAAGTCCAAAGTCTCGGTGTTGGCAGGGCTTCATTCTTTCTGGGAGTTTAGGAAGAGAATCCATTCTTTGCTTCTTTTAGCTTCTGGTGGCTTGTGGTTGCATAGCTCCAATCTCTGAATCTATATCACATGGCCTTTTCCTCTCTGTGTATCTTTTATAAAGACAGTTGTCATTGGACTTAGGGTGAGCCCAGATAACCTAGGTAGAATGATTTCAAGATCGTTAACTTAATTACATCTGCCTGGACCCTTTTTCCAACTAAGATCACATTCACAGGTTCCAGGGAATAAGATGTGGACATATCTTTTGGGGGCCTCCATCCAACATACCTAAGGATGAATGACAGTATGGGGGTTTACATGGAAAATCAACTTGGAAGCTTACATACCTGGTACAACAGTTCCACTGGTATATGGAGAAATGAGCAGATAAAAGGGATTTCAAAAAAGGAAATTCATAGGATTTGTAATTAGGAGTGGCAGAGGGAAGAGTTAAGAATGACTTTCAGATTTAGCTATACTAATAGGGTGAATAATGGAGGCATTTGTTGTCACTTACGGTTCTGATTTTGGTAGTAAGGTAATTAGCTTTCTTTTGGACTTAATAAGTTTGGGTGCTTGGAATATGTGGTACCCAGCAATCTGTTGGTTATATATTCTGGGCTGGAAATAATAGATTTTATAGTTAATGAACATAAACCTGCTTAAATAAAGCCATGGGATATGGTAAGAAAAAAGAGAAATTTGCCTTGTTACAGATCCATGAGAGACAAACAGTAGCATTTAAGGCAAAGCAAAGAAAGAAGAAGCTTTGTAAGAGACTCAGAAGGTCTGGCCAGAGATATAAGGGGAAATCAGGAGACTGATCCCATACATCATTCATGCACTTAGGGCAGTTATTCCTGAGATGTAGAAAGGAGTGGAGGGAAAGTGAATAGGAAATTAAGAAAAGGAGACAGTAAATGTAGGTAAGTCTTTCACATAGGTTGTCTCAAAGGAAAGCAGATGGGATTGAGTGAATTTTTTCCCTTATTCAAAGATGGGAAAGATAAGCATATTTTTGTGCTCTTGAGGAAGAGCTAATAGAAGGGAAGATGAGTCAGTGTAGTACTGAGGAGTACCTGAGGAAGTGGATAGGGAATCCAGAGCCACAGTTAGGGTTAGTCAGTCTGGTAGGCAAAAATGGTATCTTCTTCATTCTTTGCTTATTAGTGAGAATGTGCATTTTAAAAAATTCATTTGTTACTTGTATTTTCTTAATAATGCATTCATATTTTGTATTTCCTCTTGAGTTCTTTTAGAAAATGATTTGTATTTTTGTTATATTAGAGAAATTAGTGTTCTATCATATATCAATATTTTCCCACTTTGTTTTGTCTTTGTTAATTTCTTTTTAGCAATACATAAGTTTTAAATTTTTATGTGGCTCAAGTTTATGATTCTTTTTCTTTGCAGTCTTTCATTTTATACTAACTAGCTTTGAAGTGTAAAATTTTAGATATCTACTTTTTTCCTCTTAAAAAATTGTTAGCTTAATTTTAAAACTATTCCATAAAGCCAAACAATGTAGGCATGGAAAATATTCATTTTATATTAATACATTTGCTTGTTATTGATTTGAAAATATCATATCCCATAAAGTGTATCCATATTTTTCTTTGTTTTTCCTCACCTTTTTTTCCCCACATCTTTTTTTTTTCTGTCTTTTTCACACATATGTGATAGTAAATTAGCTAGAAATGTTCATTCCAAACACATGTATATGAATGTTGGCTCATTATTTTTCTTCTCTTAAGTTTTAAACAGGGTCTGAAAACTCTTGGTGTTTTGGAGAAAATTCAGACTTATCCAGAAGCATTTTGTAACATCTTCTGTCATAAACCTGAGAATCTTTCCACAAAAATTCTTAGTGATCTTTTTACAGTACACACATTATCTGACGTACAGGCTTTGGGGTTTTGGAACAGTTACTTACAGGCTGTTGAGGGTATGTAGATGTTTTATTTTTATTTAACTGTCGTAGAAATTTTGTTTTGGGATATTTATTTCTTTGAGTTTTGCTTTTTATAGTAAGACTTTAACTACTTATTTACAAAACTTGTTTCAAAACAAGTTTATATGACTGAGTTGAAAGTGATAGGAAAGGTTACATAGTAAAGTTATATTTTTTGGTTGTTTTCCTCTAGGTAATTTGAATTGAGAGGCATTCTTCCTAGAAAACTTTAAATATACGGGTGATTGCCACAGCACAGGATAGTCTCAAAGCTAGTCATTTACTTCACCTTTTTAAATTTTAAGTTAAATTGAATTATTCCTCATCCATTGGTCAGAGCATGGTAATGATATTTATCATTGAGCCTTAGCAATGTAAATTCATTCTGTTTAATATGGTGTAAAACAATTTAACTTTTAGTTGAAAATTTTTTAGCTAGGTTGTTTGGATGTTTTATACCATCTTAGTTTTTCCTTTGTTGAAATAGTTTATCAAATAGCAATGGTCTAGAAGTGGTTTAAAATTGTTTGTAGGATCATATCCCCAAAAGATGGAGTTTCAAAACCTACTGAACCTCTTGGACTATATGATAATTTTATATTAAGGAAGACCTTTAAATATACAGTGAGTAGGTCAACCAAATTATTGTATGAGTCCTACTTTGAAATTCAAATAAACATGTATTCAATATACCATTTTCCTATTACTACACTTAGTGATTTAGTTTTCCTCTTATGCATCTCTGTTAATGTGGGTGTCTCTGCTTTTCAACATGTCTAGTCTAGTTGGGGAAGAGTCTATGATGGTAGCAATATATAACATGGATTTTTTTTCTTTTTTTCCTTTTTTGGTATTCTTTTCAGATGGTAAATCTACAGTAACAATGGAAGACATTCTTATTTTTGCTACTGGTTGCAGTTCCATTCCACCTGCTGGATTTAAACCCACTCCATCAATTGAGTGCCTTCATATGGATTTTCCTGTTGGAAACAAGTGTAATAACTGCTTAGCTCTTCCTATCACCAGTACATATAAAGAATTTCAAGAAAATATGGACTTCGCCATAAAAAACACTCTAAGATTGGAAAAGGAAGAAAATTCTCACTTCATTGGACATTAACTGTTTTGAACAAAGAGATGCTTCTTTAAAAGCTGCTGTTTCTTTCAGAAATCTGTCCATCATCACTTCTGAGCAAACTTGGCCCAGTAAAATATATGATATGAACATAAAGGAATATTTTGGCCACTTAAGCTAAAAAGTTTTTTTGTTAAGGTGTACCAGTCAAAGTTGATACTTTTCTATTTTCTTAATATACATGCTTCATAAACCTCAATATAAATACTTTTAGAATGGCTGTACAGACTTTCTTCAACTATAGTAGCATGCTATATATAATAAGAAAACTTGTACTCAGTTTTTGTAAATTGGGATTAGCTATAGGATGCCACAGTGATTTTTCTAGTTTTATGCAATTTTCAAATTATTACTTATTTTATTTTAAAGCATTAAATAGGAAAGCTAAATGATAAATCTTGTTATATAAATCAAAGTCATATATTTTGGGGTATGTGTTATATGTATCCTTTTCTAGGATGGCACTAAATTTGTTAAAAATGTTTTTAGATTATTAAGTTATGTTAAAATAGATCCACACTGCAATTAGATTATGCCTAAAGGGAAGTATTATATTAAAAAGCAGAATTGCACAAATATTCTAGAATCTATGGACATTCCATAGTCTTAAAACACTTCTGAGGTGGATTAAAATACAGTTGAAAATCCCTAAGTAAGTGTCTTCTTTAAAGCCTTAGGCTTTAATCATAGGATTTTTTTTTTTTTTCCTGTATCCCATGTGTGGTATTAGACCACATTATGTCTGATCCACATTTTAGGTTATCTGAATAGAATGATCTCTGTGGATTGCCATTTGGTAGGTTTGGCTATTTGACAGTTATTTATTATCAAGATGGTTGTATGAAAGGTAAGCTGGCACCATTGCATTATATAGTTATCTTCTTTGCTTTTGAAAGATAACCTGTTATATAAACAATGTAGAAATGTGTAAGAAAGAATTACAAATAGAATGAAAAACCCACTCTAATCTCAACCATGCAGAATTAACTGTTATCTTTCTAAAAACTTCCATTTCCTTTCTTTTTTAACTTTATTAATGCTACTAAAAGTCAAAGAATACCTAGAAGTAACAAGAGATTATGTAATAACAATGTGAAGATACCTAATCCCATAGTTGTGTCACCATATTTGTACTCTTGCAAAAGAAGAAACTGGAAAAGTCTAATGTCCCTAATCTATTTTAAAATATAAACGGGTTTTTCACCAGAATAAATCGTATGAGAGGTAAAATGCTTGGTTTTAAGCACATTTTTCTTGCTACGTAAAGCAGGTATCAGCCATCATATTCTCATCCTCTCCAAGAAGCATCCTTAAATTATTGATATTTTTAAAGACAAATGACAGGATTGGTTTGATACTGATAATAAATCTCTTATTAATACCAAAGGAAAACTAAAACATAATCCTAGTAAAATTTTGTTACATTTTCTAACAGACCCAGCAAATTAAAGTTTAACTTTAACTTGAAGGTTTTAAAACATTAAACAAGGCACATCTTTGTCTTGTGTTGAATTCTGTTAAATTATCAAAAGTAATTAAAGGATCAATTATCAAAAAAGAGGTTTATCCTCACCATACAGCTTTTATTCCAAATGTGTTGATAAACTGGATATTTTATTTCTTAACCTACCTAGTTTTTATAAAATTTTAAAAGCCATTAAACCAATACAAACCAGAAAACCTAATTAAAGCTATTTTCTGGTTATTTGTAGTTTGAATTCATTTAATTACAGTGGTAATTAAAGCTGTTAAAGCTCACATGCTTTTTGGGTGGGTAGTTTGAATTCATTTAATTACAGTGGTAATTAAAGCTGTTAAAGCTCACATGCTTTTTTGGTGGGGAGGCAGTGTGCTTGGGTTGGCTACAATTAAAAACAGTGTTTCAATTCTTCTTTTATGTGTAGACAGGGCCTTAGGGATAAAGTGATGTAAATAACTTAGTATATTCACGTTTTAAAGTGAAGTATAAATATTCATATTGCAAAATATTTTCTGGCTTTAAGGATGTTCCATCAGTATGATTTTAGATTAATCTTTACAGTCAAGATATGTCAGAGAAACCTGACATAGGTTATTTTCTGCATTGTTACTATGTCAAATGGTTGGTATTATGTTTGTTCTTTTTCTGTTCATTGTTATAGCCAATGCATAGTTCCTACTGACATTGATTTTAAAAAGGAATTATGCTATAAACCTTTATAAATGTGTATATGTATTTCTTAAATATTTCAATCATCTAAATGCCATATATTTCAAGTTTGTTTTCTATTATGCTCATTATCAAGAAAAAGCATAAATTCGCCTTGTATGCATCTACTGTTAATGGTCTTAGGTTAGTTTTATATTCATTTTTTTAAATAATTTTAAATTTTTTGGTGTGAGAACTTCATCTGAAGGCATTTATACAATTCTCTACTATTCTTGTACTTAGTCATTTTACTATTTTAGTATTTAAGGTAAAGATGCTTTAAAATATCAGAAACTAGCTCATGACTTTATACTTTGTAATATTTAATTTCCATATTATAAATTAGTCATTATTTGTTTGGGTCAAGTAAAAAGCTTTCATTTGATTACTAACTTGAGAATTTACTTTGGCTTCTGCTTTATTCCAAACTTCTTATAATTTTTTCCCCTAATTATATGGAAGCTCTTGGAACTTTTGTACTCAATGCTAAATGTGCAGTAAAGGAGAGTGTAATATATATATAATAGGTAAGTTTTCTCCGTGACTTTGCCTTTTACATTCAGTCGTTATAAGAAAATGATTAGAACAAGATTCTATTTATAAATGTGTAATTCTTATATATAGTGCTTATCACAGCTTTGTTGCTAATTTTACAATAAGCTATTAAACTAGTTTTATGCTCTACGTGATGCAGTGTAAAGCATAAAAACACATTGATGGATTACTTGAATGTGTATTACGTATAGTTTAGGAAAATTTGGATTGCTTTGAAGAAATCCTATTTTAAAGTTCTCATTTTGACTGTTATCTTTTCAAATTGCCAAACATATTCCAATATCTACTGTATGCCAGGTATTATGTTAGGTGATAGTTTATGTCAGCCTAGTTTCCCTTTTTTTTTTTTTTTTTTTTTTCTTGCGTTATGCGGGCCTCTCACTGTTGTGGCCTCTCCCATTTGCGGAGCACAGGCTCCGGACGCGCAGGCTCAGTGGCCATGGCTCACGGGCCCAGCCGCTCCGCGGCATGTGGGATCTTCCCGAAACGGGGCACGAACCCGCGTCTCCTGCATCGGCAGGCGGACTCTCAAGCACTGCGCCACCAGGGAAGCCCTTCCCTTTTTTTAAAGACTTCAGATACAACAAAAAAACATGACACTTATAATGAAGTTTTCTAAATAAATGTGTTTCTGCTACTAAATGTGAAGCGCTTATATAAACTAAATCAAGTAACTTGTTAGGATTTAACAAGGTTAAGATTCTGACAATACTGTGTAGATAATAGATCCTTTCCCCATTTGAGAGATCCTGCGAGCAGTTATCGGCTGACACGTAGGAACCTCTCTTGAATGAGCTGTTCTGAGGTATTCTCTGTTAAAACTATCCCCTAATGTAAAATAATAGTTTGCGAGAATAATTATATTATTTTAGCCCAACATCTGGATAGGTAGAGTCAGTTAAACAGCTAAAAAAGTTAGGTTAACTAACACTCTAACAGCCATAGTTTAATTCTTTCCTTATTCTAAAAACACATTACAAATACCTTACTCAGTCTTAGCCATTACAGGGACTGTTTGTTTACTGCCACTATTCTGTGGGACATATATTTCCTATATATTTGTTTGCCCACACTGTGTGCACTCCTTGGTCAGGACAGTTTTTATCATTTCAAATGTATATACTGTACACAAATGTTAAACATGCCTTAGTGTTCTAAGTCATATGAGTCATATATTTTGGGAGGTCTATGCTGGAGCTCTGAAATGGTTAGGTAGATTTGCATTTGAAAGTAGAAGTAAACAAATGAACAAGATTGGGCTCTCAGATGTTGACAGTGGGAAAGCCTGTTTATTTTATATTCCATGAAGACAAAAAATTAAGTAGAACTTTCCCATAGAGCAGGAACTGTCATTTCTGTTTAATTGCAACACACCTAGTTCATTGGTGATTCCAGTTTTCTTTTTTTTTATTCCACATATAGGAAGCAGTAAAAAATCAGCTATAAGATGAGTATGGTCTGAGGATCTAATATATGTGACTGTAGTTAACTGTACTGTATAATTGAAATATGCTAAGAGAGTAGAACTCAAAAGTTTTCACCAAAAAAATAAAATATATATATATATATGTGTGTGTGTGAGATGATAGATGTGGTAAATAACTAAGTGGGGGGAATTCTTTCACAATGTATACATATATATCATATCATCACAATGTACGTTTCAGATATGTTGCCAAATTTATCAATTATACCCTCAAAAAAGGTGAAAAAAATTTACACAAGGAAAAAAAAAGAATGTAGGTCCAGTTCTAGGGTGTTCCCTAATGGCATTAAGAATGAGATCACCTGTCAAGTTTCATAAAAATAAACTTTTGTGTTTTGTTTAAAAAATTTGCTCTTTATGTAATCGTTGGGGTAGCTTAATTTCTCATAAATTCGAAAAGTTAAGTTTTCAAACCAGTTTTTGAGGCACAGGGTCTCTAATTTCATTTCAGAATTTGGTGAAGCTTCAGAATGAACATATTCAATAACTAATGCAGTATCCTAAGTGAATTCTGTTAGACCATACGGGAAATGATTTGTGTCCATTTTTGACATCCAGTAAAAAAATCTATGGATTAAATTAGAAATCATTAATATTGGATACATTTTGTCATCATATGGTTTTAAGTGTACATTAAGACACCTGCACTTTCCACTTACACCCCCTGCCAAAGTAATGTTTTGTGATTTTGCAGTTACTAAAAGGAGGAAAATACGAACTGCCATTTTGCGCCTTCCTGGCTTCTGTGTCCATGTAGGCAAAACAACCCCATGCAGCTAGACCATTTTGCCTAACAGATGAGATTAAGAAATCTGCCTGATTAGAGCAATGCTCCGAAGCTGCCTGTTTCCCAGAAAAGGAGCAAACGGGAGACCCCTCCTGCTGCACTGGGGAAACAGAAAAGGGAGCTAGCATTGAAGTGCCAATTTTGTTCCAGGAGCTTCATTTACTTTAGTCCTGTGATCCTTAAGCTCCTAGATTATTATCACCACAAGAGATCTGTAGACGACCAAACTAACAGTTCAGTATTTAGGTTCTTAGTACTACAACACGTTCCTGCCCTACGAGCTCACTTTAAAGCAGCTACCCTTTGAGAAGCTGTGGCTTGATTAGACAGGATAAAAATTCCTACTATTACGCCGCTGGAAAGTAAACACTGCCAGGTGTTCGGGTATTATTCCCACGTTGGGTCTCTAAGTTTTGTGGAGAGAGCTGAGAGAATGGGAGGGTCACCCTGGAGGAGGCGGGGTTCGGCTTTCTATGGTCCCGCCCCTCCGATCTTTGCTTCCGGGGCGGTCGGGGCGGCCACGTCATGATCGGGCTCCGCTCTCCAGCCGGGCAGTGTATGGTGGGAGCCAAGATGGCGGCGGCCGCAGCAGCCAGTATT